CCCATCCACTTCCGCCGCCGAGGCTTTCACCCCGAGGTCGAAGAACCTTAATCCATTGCCAGTCCCTATGATAGTGAATAGTGTGTCTCCAAAGCTTGTCGGTCACGCTGCTGCAGCTGGCCGATAAAATTAGGAAAGTCGGGGATCATTTGCTTGTAGATATCAATGACCTGAAATCGTTAGCTTGTACAAGGAATGAACAGTCGCGGGTAGCTTACCTTCTGGAAGACGTCGTGCAACTCTTGCCTGGCTGGGCTCTTGAGATCCATATCACGATATCTGGCGATGGCGGTAAAGTAGTTGAGTAACTCCTTTTCCATGGCTTGAGGGTTTCGTCCTACAATCATGGAGAATCCCTTGAAAGCGGTCGCCTTCTCCTCTGTCGCCTCAACCTCATTCATGATGCTGATCCACTCCTCAGCGAAAGTGGACAAGTGAGGCCCAAGTTGTTCCGAGTTGTCCAGACCAAGTCGACCCAAGGCTGTCGCGGCATTCTCATTAAGAGCCTTTGGGACACGGGGGTTGGTCATGATCTCAACGAATCGCTGGAGAAGGTCTTGAACCCAATGATGCATATTTTCCTTGTGTTGCATAGAGATTTCGCCAACCGACCAGCAAGCGTTGTTGACAACACCGAAACCGCTATCCATATCTTCATCAAGAACACTATCCATGTCCAGCTGCTTGAGCAAGATGGTAAGGATTTGGGGGAGGTATTGCTGTAATAAAGGATAGACATATCTGGCGCAGTCTCCCAACAACGCATAGGCAGACTGTCGGACCTCATCAGTAGGGTCTTCCATACACAAGCTGAGAAGCTCAAAGAAGGATTGCTGAGAGTTCTTGACCAAAGCGGCGGACTTGTCATCATTAAGAGCCTGGATGATTGCACTGAGCAGATCCAGACTTGTAACGAGGAAGTCCTTATCGGGCTGGTCGAGTACCGGGTTGTTGGCAGCAGCCAATGTCTGCTCAAGGTTCGTGTGGATGATGTTGACGCATCGCAGGAAGATAGGCTCAGCGTAGGGAGCGAACGCATCACCGAGTGCCATAGCCACATAAGAGAGGCACTCTAGCAGAGGGAACAGCTCCCGTGACTGATCCGATACACGGTTGTATCGGTCGATCAAGGCAGGCATAAGCTTGCCTGCCAGATCAGGCGAGGCCAGAACAGGCCCGATGTGCTCCGCCAAAGTCTGTATACAGTCGTAAAGGATGTACATATTTCGATCCTTGTACTTGGCAAAACAGTGGACGAATTGCTGAACGATGGGACCGCAGTAAGGCTCGAGAATCTTGCCTGCCTTGTCCTCCAAGTTAGCAAAAGCTGAGGCGGCAGCTTCTTGAACCTTCTTGTTCTTATCCAGCATATGACGGAGGATACCGTCCATCAGAGGAAGGAAAAATTGATCCTTATCCTTATCCTCCAAGTTAGCAGCCCATGAAGAGTACCGGCCGAGGGTCCAGCAGGTGATCTGTCGTACGACAGGCTCCGAGTCCTCGAGAAGGGAGATCAAGTAAGGCACAAGCTCAGGCAGATGTGGGACAACAACGTCCATACATCCATCAGCAACAGCGCCCAAGGCAAGAACAGCGGCTTCTCGTTGAGGCCACTCGTCGTGCTTTAGGTGCTGTGAAAGATAGGGAAAGATAGCCTCGAAAACTGGCGCTTGGAAATCGCGGGCAAAGACGTCGAGGGCAGCGGCGGAGCACTTGCGGATGGTCCATCGTTCATCAGGGTTGGCATCATCGCCATCGTCATAGTCGTCAACCTCACCCTCCTCAGGGTCTTCGTCCATGCCACCCAGCTTCGCGAAACCGCCACCGTTCTGTGACGGATCGGCAGAGTCACCGACTTCGCCGTTGGCCTTTCGTGCAAGCGCCTTCTTGGCAAACGCAGGGCGGATATCCTCTTCGCGATCCTCCTCTTCCTCATCATCCGAAGCACCTCCAAGGAGAGCAATATCCTCACCACTGTATACCATGCATTCGAGAAGGACAGGGATGATCTTGTGGATATATGGTTCCAGTGCTCTCCACAGGTTGTCGTGCTCGCCCACAGCCAACCAGAACTCGGCAGCCTCGCATGCCAGCTCTTCATCGTCGCCCTTTTGCTGGGTTATGATGTAATCGACAAGGCCACTGATGTGTGGTTGAAGCTTGTCGGGTCGAGTCTCAACAAGGTTGACAAAAGCACGGCAGACTTGTCGTCGGACGTCGACATTGGTATCGCTGGCCAGGACAAACAGGTGTTGAAGGAGGTCATCGATGGAGTTGAGCATCGCCTGAGACTCCCGGGGTGTGAAAACATTAATAGCAGTGAGAGCGCCAGCTCTGACCTTGGGCAACTGACTCTTAGTAGCAGCGATGAATTGGGGAAGAACAAAGTTGAGAGGACGTTGGCCGTTGACCTCCTTGGTCAACTGGCGGTAGTTGTCCTCGCAAATTTTGGCCAGAGCAGACATGGCACCTTCCTGTGCCTCGTTTGATGTTTGTCCTGAAGAATTCCCAACCAAGTCAATAAGTTGAGGTAGTAGCTCGGGCCAGGTTAGCAACCCTCCGCGTCGGACAATCTCGGTCGCAATGTTTCCAGCAAAGTTGCGAATCTGGGAGTTCTTGTCCTGCAGACACATGGGGACAGCGAGCTTGATGAGTTGGAGGCTGTCTTCGGGGATGTTTTTCCATTCGGTTCGAACGTTGTTCTTGAGCATGATGCCGGCAGCGGACCGCACGAGGTGGAAATCCTGCTCTGAGAATTGGAGGCCATTGGGAGGTTGGGAGCTCGAGAACAGGTATGCAAGATAGTTATTAATATCAGGGGAATTCTTGGCTTGTTGAAGCATCTGCAAAGAACATGATTAGTTGAGAGGCGGCGCATGGGTTGCGATGGGTCAAGCAAAGTCTTACCAAGTCAGCCTGCTTCTGGGCAGACTTGTTGAAACCGCTGAGGGAATCCTTGAGGCACGCAGCAAGCTGCTGCAGCGAGTCCGGAGACGGTTCCCAAGTAGACATGGCTGCGTGGTGTTGAACAAGATGGTGAGTGTCGCGAAAGCGGGTATGAGGAGAAGAGGGGCGCTGAAGCGGGATGGATGGTTTTGTGTGAACAAACTTCACATGAGCTAAGCTTCGCAAGTGCTACTCGTTGACGATCAGCAATGCGCAAAGCTAAGCCAAGACGAGGCCCGAAAAAGAAACAATGGCAGTAGGGCTCTACTCTGAAAGGAAGAGGGGAGAGAGAGACGAGCGGTCGGTGGTATTGGATCAAATGGGTAGGATGGATGGATGGATGAATGAATGGCAGGTAATGGTATAGTGGGCGAAGCGAATGTGCCCCTCCGATACAGGGATGTGCAACACCGTGGGGCCACCACTTGGAAAGCTCAAGCCCAAGTCAAGTTAACCAAGTCACTCGCTTGTTGCTTGTTCTTCTTTTGCTTGTTCTTCTTTTGTTTCTCAAACGTTGATGATTTTAAGTTGTGTGGGGAAAGTTATCGGAAGGGTCCTATCAGTGGATACGATAAGTAAAAGGGAAACAATTGACTCCAAGGGAAAGAAGTTGATCTCTCTCAGTTAGAGTTGATAAAGAAGCTCAGGAGCCCACAATGGAAGACATGGAAGACTCTGGTGTATCCGTACTGTAGGTACGGAGCAGAGAGAGAGAGGAGCCCTGTGAGGGGGGAAAGAGAGAGCGGAGGCTCAAAGATGGGTAGCAGCTTGTAAAAAAACTCTACTTTGGGTTTAGCTCTGGCGAGATGAGACAGAAGGTCATCGTCTCACACAGTGTCGACACACTCTGACGCCTTGAAACACGCACATTAGACCGTGTCAAAATCAAGGGTCCAAAGAAAAAAAAATATTCAGTGGCGCTGCGCGATAACGATAACCCGCCAAACAGAAATTCTAATGACGAAAAGATGAAAGACTCTGTTTTGTTCTGTTCTTGGCGGGGATCACCGAAGCTAGATAAGATTAGATTAGAATCAGAATCAGAATCAGAATCAACGCTGTAACTGACAAAAGTATACGAAACCGGCACCCTAGTTCGATCTTCCCATGTCCTCGCCAAGTGATTAATGTCTTTGGCTACTGATCAATGTAGAAAAGTCAACAAAGACGAAATAGCCGCTTATTTACATCTATCTTCCAATAGATTTCAATTTCAGCCTTTAATCCTGAATCATCTAAATTAACGCCTGCAACGGGCCGTGGCCATGCCTGAGACATTGCACTTAACGGTTTTTGGAGTTATCCGCAGATGCAGCGGTACTGTACAAGCAGTTCAGTGACAATGGAAATCATTGCCGATGAACGTAATCGCCATTATCCTTCTACAGAGATGTATTTACACGGTGTGAATCGGCAATCCAACAAGGAGAGACTTCTGATCTAGATGCCCAGTCACACTAAAGCGTCATTCCAAGATCAGTCTCGCCGTAAGTGCCGCGTATCTTGATGTTGCACCAGTTTCTATTAACATGTATCACATGTGTGATGCCATCACCCAGCCAGTCACCATTTTCGTAGAGCGGTCTGCAGCTGGACATCCTGAGGATCGCTGGCAAACCATACTTGCTTGTCGAGTAGACAAGAGCCCTCCATATTGGACATATATCGTTATCATCATGACACAAGCAATGCCGTGCAATGAAGTGCATCTTTTGTTCTTTGAACGTCTGTTTGTATCTACTAATGGATAAACACTCATTTCAAGCCTCTCTAAATCAAAGTGGCAGTCGGATGTCTTGGTATCACACGCACATCTCCGCCAGGTGACAAACATTTGTCTCGAGCCATTTGCCTATGTGTGCCGCTGCGGAGCCACCCGGCATCGTGCGTGGTCCATGTTGTAATTCTCCCAAAAAACTGTCTTGACAGCTCTGTCACATAGTGACATGCCCTCTGTGGTCCTGCACCTGCCGTGAGAATTTATCTGATAGACGCCACCAGGAACTCCCGATCTTCGTTCTTACGTGGGGTGTAACGATAGCCTCGGTCATCCTCTAGACTGTAACTGGCTTGGCGCTCAATTGTAGCTTTTTTGAGACAACCTGAACAATAGTCTTGAAAGCCTCCATCTCCTCTTCTACTGTGCCGCCCATTCCGGCATTAGCAAAGCTCATCGAGTTGGTGACATAGACAGGAAGCTGTGATTTGCGAGCCAGTAGCTTTGCCAGGCGCGTTGTGAACTCTACCGATATCTCTGATGAGTAGAGAGTCGTAGAGAGCGGCTGTGCCTGGTCAAGTCTCTAAAAGACAGATCTGGGTCAGCAGTGTCTTGCCACCTGGGCGAAAGAGAAAGAAAAAAGGCCGAACTTACGTTGGGCAGAGCATAAACAAACGAGCCTAAGGGTACAGGTGTAGACAGTTCATCCTGTGTAGCGGTTGTGAGAAAAATCACAATGGACTTTGCTTTGGTAGATAGGCGGAGGTAGATGCGGGTATCAAGAGACCGAGGGAGGGGTACGGAAAGCTCGATTGAGTCTGTGGCCATGACGGTGCAGTGCGTCTAGACAGATATCTAAATCTGCCTTGGTGATGAGAAATTGTGTTGTTTGTTGCGAACTTATGAGAAACTATGTCAAGAAGCTGCAGTATCAAAGCTACGTGTAGGTCGACTGAAGCTGAGTGGAATGGGATTTATTCCGTTTGCGCAATTGACGTAACTGTATGAGCTGTCAGTGTTCGCACTTTCCGTAGAAGCCTCTATTGCCAACGTACATGAAGAAAGAGAGCAAAACTATTTTAACATTCGATAAAAATTACCTTCCTTCTGCTCTCGATGTAATTATGGTGAAATTGAAGGTTTACATCGAATTACGCAATCACATGATCTCCTCAACCCCACGCAAACTCAAGGTCCGCAAAAATCTTGACATTGTTGTTGTAAGAGGCGAGAGATATGAGTTCATCTTAATTGTCTTCTTTTCATATTTTACGTCTCAAATTGATTTATTTGAGTCGCCTAGCATAGTCAAAATTTCGCTGACTTACTAAAATCGTCATTTTACCCTCTGGTGGGCACTTTCTCTCATTGTTATCAACATTCCTCCTATCTACCCCGCCATGACCCTCACTTGCACATAACATATATCAACGTCTATTTCAAAGTCAACCAAGATGGCCGAGTCTGAAGATGGCCACCACATCGAAGTTGTCCCCGATGATAGCGCCTGGGCGGGCGTAGAGGAAAATGCTGAAGATCCTGAGGAAGTTCGCGTTATATTCAGCGCATTAGATTCATTCTTGTGAGTTTACACCAAGGTATTATGCCTGAGTTGGACCATCATGCTCAGTTCTCTCAAGAACAGACTGGAAGATCCAAAATTCGCTCTATAATGACCACACTCGGCTTGGATACGTTGTGTTCCCATACTGAGATTTTCGCAGCCAATACGCCAAAGTCTCACACTTCAACGTAACACACCTGCGCCGTCAAGCCTTCTATGCTTTACCCCAAGCACAATGGCAACTCTTAGCTGCACCTCCATTCAACTTCCTCGACACCCTTGAGAAGACTGACTATGCTATCAACGAGAATGCTAAGCTAGCTCGCACCATTGCTCGCACTGGCCTCCAATCATTTCACATGATGACGGCCGACCTTGAAGGCCAAGAGCCGACGATGCCCCAAGAATGGGCTGGAGTAGCCAAGCACTCTGATGTTGACAAGGCCAGGAGTACTATTCGGCAATTCTATAGAGATTGGACTGCGGCGGGAGCTGCAGAAAGGGAGGCTTGCTACGGTCCCATCATGAAAGCCCTGGCGGCTGAGAAGGAGAAATACTTAGAAAGATCTCCTCTAAAAGTCTTAGTACCAGGCGCGGGGCTAGGAAGACTGGTTTTCGAACTGGTTGCGAAGGGGTACAATGCTGAAGGGAACGAGATCTCTTATCATCAACTGCTCGCCTCATCATACATCCTCAACTGCTGTCCACAAGCTGAAGAGCACACCATCTACCCTTGGGCTCACAGCTTCTCTAACCACCTAACTCGAGCCAACCATCTACGGGGATATCCCGTCCCGGATATCCATCCAGCTTCCGTGCTGGCCAAAACACCCAACACTGGAGAGATGTCTATGTGTGCGGCTGATTTTCTCTGCCTTTATGCCGACGAAGAACATGAGGCACAGTACGACGCCGTGGCAAGTGTTTTCTTCCTCGATACAGCCCCCAACCTGATCCGTTATCTCGAAGTCATACGACATTGCCTTCGACCTGGAGGCGTTCTCATCAACGTTGGGCCGTTGCTGTGGCATTTTGAGAATAATGCGCCTGGAAACCATGGACAGGACGGCGATACGGAACACGACCCCAAGAATTCATCAGGCATTGCTGACCCAGGAAGCTTTGAGCTGGCTGATGATGAAGTTATTGCACTCCTGGAGAAGATGGGCTTTGTCGTTGAGTGGCATAAGACTAATGTCCATGCGCCGTATATTCACGACCCTGAAAGTCTTTTACAGTCTACGTATAGAGCAAGTACTTGGCTCGCTCGAAAACCACTAAATACGAGTGACTCCTGAATATAAAAAAAAGTCGTTCAAAAACAAGTTACATATGATATTGTATTTCGATTCAAATGCTATAAATTAGTGGTTGCCTTTATAATAAATTGTTCGCCGAAAAACACTTATAGCTTGGCCTTCTCCGCAATCATGAGCTCTCCACGTTGCCACAGGGCACCACCATCAATAGCAACCGTCTCGCCGTTGACATGCGATCCGGCCCGACTAGCCAAATAAACAACGACACCAGCAATATCCTCAGGCTGACCAAGTCTGCGCATGGGGTTGGAAGCGGCAAACTGGTCGGCACCACCCGACATCTCCAGCAGTCCGTTGGACATCTTGCTGGGGAAGAAACCAGGGCAGATGGAGTTGACGGTGATGTGTCGGGGTCCCAGCTCCATAGCCAGGTTGCGTCCGAGATGTAGCACGGCAGCCTTGCTGGCGGAGTAACCGTAAGTGCCCTGCTTTCCAATGGTGCCGACAGCGAGTCCTGCAACACTAGCTGTGATGATGACGCGGCTGGGGTCCTGGATGGATGCGCTCTTCTCGAGCATTGGTGTGAAGAGACGGATGGTGTTGAAAACAGCCTTGACGTTGAGATCCATGACCTTGGCAAAGGCAGAGTCAGGGTGCGTATCGAAAGACTCGCCCCATGTCGCGCCAGCGTTGGCGAAGAGGATATCCACGCGATCAGTGTGCTTCTTGACCTGCGCGAGCAGACTCTCTACGCCCTCGAACTTGGAGGAGTCGGCAGGGACTGAGATGGCGATAGCGCCGGGTGAAAGGTTGGGAAGCGCATTGAGAGCCTTGCAAGCTTCCTCACAGGCGGAGGCCTTGCGGGATGAGATGAAGACTTTTGATGCGCCTGCTTGTAGGAAACTGGGTATGATGTCAGTCGCGTTCAAAAGAATGGGTAAAAAAAAAGTTACTAACGCCGAAGCTGCGTGAAGACCTAGACCACGAGAGCCACCGGTAACGACAGCGACCTTGCCTTTGAGGGAGAAAAGCGAAGGGAAATCGTTCAACTGAGCCTCAGCCATGATGTCTATTTGTGTTGGTGTTTGTGTCGAAAAATAGTAAATAAAGCTAAACAAGGATAGACAAGGAATGAGATTGGAAAAAGGGAGTGTTTGTTCTATAGGTACTACAATAACTTGGATTAGGTTTCAGAATCTTTTACAAAAACAGAGGAGGAGCCAGTTAGCTTTATAGGAAGGAGAGTTGATAGGTAACGTTTTCCCCTTTGATGTTCGTGGCAAGCTCTGAGCCTCGGAGTATTGACTGGCCTGGGGTAGGTCCGGGGTTCATTTATTAAGCTCCGGTTGCGGGGAAGAAGATACCGAGGCACGATGTCCGTTGTGTGGGTCCATTTCGGTAACCAGTTAAACGTTTAATGAGCTACATCATCGACACTCGAGGGAAGATTATTTATCTACTTGTCCTTGAATCGTGTATTTAATGAGATATTGAAAGTAGATACCATTATAGAAATGTGCAACCCAGAGTCAGAATGACCAACTTTGCGCTATATGGCAAATCATGCATATCCCCAGTCATAACAAAGCATAAATAGAAGAAACCATCCCATGAATGCGATAGAGGGAAGTAGAAGAGAAAATGCAGATGAACAGTTGAAATAGGTAACCATGTTCAGAGATCATTATCTGGAAACACATCAAAACTTGTGTTGTGTGCTGTTCCACCTTATCCTGTGCCGTATCGAGTAAAAGAAATAACACATCCAAAAATACATCATCCAAGAGTATCCTCCAAGATCAGAAGAGAAGAGAAATGTAAAGACATGTCCAGAAACGGGTCCAATACTATTAAAACAACGGCTGCCTTGCCTAGAACGTGCAGATTTGTTCTGTCACGCCACTGAGCTGATGACTTCAGTGTCGTAACCGAAACATCACCTCCATGATTCAGGCAGTACGTTTGGAAACTCAGCTGTAGACCAAAGCCGCAGCTGTCTCGCTATAACAAAGCTTTTGAGACGAGTTTCGCAAGAGCATGTCAGAGTGGCTGGCAGCTCTTGAGGAACGTATATATGTGAGTGTTGTTCGAGACACCCAATGTAGGGACCTGCTGGGAGCAGGCACCATTAAACGTGAATTTGAGAGCGCTCGCAAGGTCGTTCATTACCTGCGGTGCTTCTTCTTGTGCGTGTGCATCTTGTTCGCCCAACTGGTGTTAACAGCCTCGGTAACGACATCCCAATCTGAGCCTACTACACGACCAATGAAGAGCACCTTGACGTTATGCTCCACAGTCGTGAGTTTCGAGTAGTTAACTCGTGACTCCTTTGAGATACGTTCGCCTTGCTCGTAAATATGCACACGAACCGGGGGAAACCCAAGCTTAGGCTCATTGCTCAGAGGGAGCGGGCTTCGATTGCTACTTTCAGCGACAATGCCATGTTGCTCGGCCTTGACACCACTCTTTTTGCAACCCTTTTTACCGTAGGTAGAAATTGGACTGATACGTCAGCGAACATCAGGAATGGCCTGTTATAACACTTACATGCAAGTGCAATGCCCAAGGTCATTAGCAACAACAATAAATCGGCGAAAGTGAACGAATATCCGACCGCCGTATTGGTCTCGATACACCGTTTCCTCCACAATACTTCCCCCTCCTGCTGGCTCTGGCCACAGCACCTTGAAAACCTGTGGCGAGGTCAGTATAACTAGAAATATTTACAGCAGTATCGACTTACCTCTCCAGGTTGAAACATGTGAGAAGGTGCAACGGTATATCCTAAGATAGTCTTAGCTTGAGAGATCTGAGGGAGGTTCAGGGGTGTGCGTACGTGGATCTAGGGTTTCCGATTCACCACCAGTGCCTATGATGTGCTCTTGGTTTCCTGTAGGCACTACAGGCCCCGCTTCATCTTCGTCATCTTGTGCTACGAGGTTTATTGTTAGCACTCCGAACTATCTTTTGGTATATTGGTGACATACTGTATGCAGCGTAAGTTGTAGACGAAGGCTCGCCATTTCCATATCGATCACGTGTATATTGTTTGCTTTGAGCAAGAGCATCCTGAAGTACTGGATCCTCATATTCTCCTGAATCATCTGCATATGGTTGTGTTGGAGTAGACACTGTAACATTCGTGTGAGCGCTGTTCGTGATTAGAAGTTGAGGGGTCGTTCTACATACCTTGTGCAGTTTGTGGATACGCATGGTACTGTCCAGTAGTCTCGTCGTAGTCTGGACACATTAGTAAATTGTGTACCTGAGATAAATCACAGGTCTTGTCAGGGACTTACACATCTCGTCTTGCGAGTTGGATGCTTTGCGTTGGGCATAGCGATCGTCATAATCTTGTCCATCGTCCTCGGGGATGTCTTCTTGTACAGGCGCTTTTCCCTTCCCAGTTGAAGTTTTGGATGATTTTGATTTTGATTTCGAGGAACTGCCGTGCGATCTTGAGGATCTGGATTTCACCTTCGATGACGAGCTCGTAACAGTGTAATCATCATCTGGAACATTGAATATGTTAGTGGCACTTCATTGATGAATAAATCCAGAGAAAAAGAAGTAGGTGCATGCTGAATAGGATGCTAGTTTGAGATACAACGTACTATTTTGTTCATCTCCACCCGTTTGTTCAGGACTCCGTATGTTGACAGCCCCGAACTGCTGTGTCATCTGCTCCACTGGGGTTCGGGGTGTCTGATTGTTCTGAGCAGCCTCATATTCGCTCTGCCATTGTACATCCGCGTTGCCTGGATGGTTATCATCAGCAACCTTTTCGAGAAATAGGGGTTAGTATGTGGAGATTCAAGACGCACCTGAAATATCTACTCGCTGGCGGTAGTACTGCTGATAGTCTGTATTCCAGATCCATTGAGACCACTCGCTCCATCCTGATCTGCTCGTTTGATACATAGTAGCATTTTGCGCATACAGGCAATGCTTTTAAATATACCGGCTCGATTGCAATTATCCAATAAAGAATAGTCGAGCAATAATAATGGCAGTTATGGATATGAAAACGTAGTAATTCGCAAGCAGATCGGCTGTGCTGCAAGATGGTATGGATCGATTGAAAGGACGTGAAGCGACCAAAGTGATGCCCAATGATGCAAAGAATAGTCGGATAACCGGCTGATCGAGACCAAGAGACTTCTATCTCGTCACCCAAAAAAGACGAAGGCCTTGTAGTCGGTTGAATTCCAACGAAGCCGCCAACTTTCGAGTAAAGAGGTACCAGCAGCTGAGAAGATGGTGGGTTGGGGGTTTTTGTAAAAATGAATGAGAGTCAAAAGTGACAAAGTGGAACCTTTAAACCGACAAGTTAGGTAGCTAACCAGGAATGCGGCTCAGCTCTCTATTCAGATGCAGACTGGACGAAGGAGCTGTAACTCGGTTGTACGAGGATGAAGACTCAAGCTATTGCTGGTTTGTTTGGGGTGCGTTTACGAAGATTGGGTCTGAATAGTATCTTTTTGGGTGAAAGTACTCGACAGACGTCGCGGGGGGACAATTGTATTGTCTCTCTCTGCTTTAGTGCTATACCGTCTTTCCTGTATCCGGGGTCAGGTAGACCGGTGTTCTGTGATGATTGGTGTTTGTGGCGTATGTACGTCGAGGGGCATAGGTCAGATCCTGCCGCCAATACTAGGATTACCGCTTCAGAGCTGCATGAAGTATGCTGAAGGGGTATCTCGTGCGTTTCTTATGGTGGTCTTGTTGGTGAAGTGAAGTCAGAACAGTCGTTGCAGGCTAGTTTTGCCGGGATGGTGGTACAACAGAAACAATGGCATCAACCGACAACAGAACACTAGCAGCAAGAAACACAGCAATGTAATGTAGCTTGGCTGCAGAGGTTGTAGCACTCACTGGCCGGAGCAAATAGCATACAGCCTGGTGTCAGTCAATGTGGTTGAGTTTCCGAGTGCCTAGAGCACGTACAACCTTGAAGGACGGACGGGAAACAAGAGATAGAACTGGAGGGCTTAAAGGGTGGACAACTGAGCGGCAACCGCAGCTTATCAGTCGCTTCTGAGTATGCAGTCCAGCATCTCTTTAATGTCGCGCATCGACCAGCGAGTAACAGACGGAGCGTCGAGTGGGGATGGATGCAACAAGTGGAGGAGGTGGACTCATGGAGGGGTTCTGGGAGGAGTCGAGCTGCAAACTCGCATGACGAGACCCTTAGTTAGCTGAGTCAAGTCGAGTCTCCAGTAGATGAATACTTTTGGACGAGAGAAGGGTAGGTGAGAATGGGGACTGAAACAAGCAGAGGTCACTTTCGTATTAGATAACCCGAGTCAAGCATGCCATGACATGGCACGGCACGCAACACGCAGGCAAGCAAGCGAGCAAGCAAGCAAGAAAGAGAGATAGTAAATGGGTAAGTCTCCATCATCCATCATCCATCTGGAATAAGCACCGAAAGAGCGCTGTAGTCTTGAGTAGGAGACACGCCCCTCCGAATACAGGGCACAATGCATAGAGCCGAGAGGGTATTGGATCGAGGGACCAATTGGGAGGGGAGTGAGCGATTTTAGAAGGCGTCCACCGGGAATGAATACAGGGTGTAGTTGTTGGTGTTGAGGTAGAGCTACAACAGTTGCATTCGTTAGCTTGGGAGACTAAGTGGGCGGGAAGAGCACAGTGTGCACTTGGAGCATCCACCAATAGTGGAATCCTAGCAGGCCTCAAAAAAGGGCCTCTGTTCGTTCGTTCCACGACTGCGTGTTGAGGCTAAGGTTAGTTTAAATAGAGTAGCCGTTGACCGTTTTTTTGAACTTTGTTGAAACGTGATTTGGATTTCATTTCCTGTGGCGGACAAGATGACAACGACAACAACAATGATGATGTGTTTTGTTTTCTACCTTGTATTCCAAGAACCAGCACAATGTTGCATAACACACATGACACGCTACGTAGCCGACCTAATGTCTTACCTTAATAAAGAATCCCAGCAAGTCTGACATAGACATTCCCACTCTCACTGGTCGACATCGCTACATAGTTTGAGGAAACACTCGCTTTTTCCCCTCCTACGCTCTGCTGTCACATTTCTATTTGGTCGAGCTTGATAGACGTGTTTTGCCAATGGATAGACCATCCACAGGCATTGACTCCAGTCCCCAGGCGCTAACTGTTGCTAGTCTTTAGTGGCCGCTGTCCCCGACGCCGGGAGCACTTCCCCTAAAACATGACCTAACCTTGTTGTAACATCAACGCGCAAATCAGCCGCTAGATTACAGTGTTGCCCAGGGCTGTCCCTCGCCAAATGGAGGAAAAAGCAAACCCCTGGCTCGGTTGCTTGACTGATTACATTTCCTTGTCATCTCCCTTTTCCCTTCTTCTCTCTCTGTCCGCGTACCCATTTGCCATCCCTATCCTATCCTGTCCTGTCGTTCGTTCGTCCGTTCGTTCATTCCCCGTCAACGTCAACGTCAACAGTCGATCTTTTTGAGCCAAAGAGCCTCAGCGGTCGTCTCGGCATTGATTGTCTCGTCTCGTATCGTCTGATCAGGTCATCAGAGAAATGGACAAGCCGCCTCTAGTTCCCATGAATCCGTCTTCTTCCCCTAGCTCTGTTGATCTTACGTACGTCGATGGATGCCGTAGCGTACGACAACCACAACCACTCGAGCTATGCCCAAGCTCACCCGAGTCAACATCGCCAATACCCTCATAGCTCTACCTTGCCCCTTCCTGTCCCTGGGGCTCATGGCAGACCTCGCTCCCCAGATCAGGTCGAGGGTGAGGGCGAGGACGAGGACGAGGACGAGTGCGAGGGTCGCTACCAGACCCTCGAAGCTCTTCAACCCTCTCTTCATGTTTCGACAAGCTTGCCCATGTCTGAAGTCGACACTGTATTTTCCATGTATCAACCAACTTCTACCCAGGCCAGCATCATCAGCAGACGCGATGTAGACAGGTCTGGTCCGGCTCCACCACATCGTCCTCCACCGTCCTGGAAAGCTGGCCTCGATGAACCATCACGTCCTCCTCCTCCTCCTCCTCCACCTCCACCGCCGCCGTCTTATCTTCGACCTCCAATGATATGGCCACAGTCACTTCCGTTGGGGCCGACTCGAATCCCATTTGGTAGACCCCCGCCTCCACCACCGCTTGGGGATGCTTTCGTCCATACGAACCTACGACCACCACTCTTATACAACCGTGACGCGGTTCCCTTCCAACGACAGTCACCTCAGCAAATACTATCGCCACCGCCGCCCCCGCCTCCCCATCCTCCCGGCACGCCGACCGTCTCAACATTTCATGTTTCTAATGGTACCCCAACGCAACCCAAGACTCCGAACTTGAGGCCACCAAGAGGGTTCACTGGCTTTGGTCAATCACACAACGCTCAGCAGCCAATTCAAGGGAAGAGTCTCGCGAATCTCTCAGTCCCTCAAGCAAGTCGACATGAACTCGGTGGCTCTACCTCAAGATCCCCATCTTCGAGCTATACCATACCACGATTGATTGATGATGTGGCCTCCTCTTACGATTCATTGTCTGATGAAGACTCTCTTGTCTTCAGAAACTCGCGGCAGTTTCCTCCGCTATACCCAACTGCGTCCACCCTGAACTCGCAAGGGAGGAATCGCAAAACATCCATGACAAACCGCATAACTACTTGGATATCCGAGTACGAGCGGGATCGCGCACCAAAAGATCGGCTGGACTTGAGTGCCAGCCTGGAACCACTTTTGGAAACTACTAGAGGTGACAGAAGTCATCTATCAAAAGAATCTGTACCTTCCGAAGATACCCTTGAGCTCCTCTGGATAAAGCTCAAGGACCAACGCGTCAAGTTGAATGACATTAAGAGCCAGATGGCTAAGAAGAGGAAGAGATTGAGAGAGTTACGTCGAAACAGAGATGACGCAGATAACGCATTCATGAGTGTCATTCGACCAATGCTTATCACTCACCAGGAACAACTAGAAACATCACCTGTCAACCTGGAAAGACGCCTGGCAGATTTGCAACTTCTCAGGACTGAGTATCAAGCTTTTGAAAACGACTATGAAGATCTTGAAGGCACTCTCGACGAAGAAGAAGAGACGCTAAACAGACTAGAAATTCGCTTCTTCAGTTTGCTGGCAGTTGACCAAGTCACTCCCCTTGAGGAGTCACCCGAGGACGAACCTCCGGACGAACAGGACAACAATATACCGAATGATTTAATGGGAATCCTTCCCAGAGGTCCTTCTGAAGATGTGCACCCTCTATTTCTAGAACTTATGGCCGCAGTAGGTGATCTCGAGAACGCCAAAGAAGAGCTTGATGAGCTACTCTTTCTCAAAGAGCAGCATGAAGGCGAATTAAGGATGAAATCTGCAGCGGGTATGGAATTGAACGAGGCCGAGATCGAATTCTTTGACGAGTTCCCGTTGGAAGAGGAACAGATGCGCAGTAGCGTCACTAACTTGGAGCAACAAGTGACAGATCTCCGAAAGCTGTGCGAGGAGAAGGGGGCGATGAAGAAACATTTGTCATCGCGAGTATCTTATCTCTTATACCCCGAGGCCGGATATGAGGATATAGAACTCGACAACGTCTCTGTAATCTTGCGCACTCGGTCGGATCTGGCTGATCCGACATTTCCTGTGATTATGAGCCAGCCTGAGCACGTCTTGGCCGAAGACTTTCCTCTTACTTCAAGCGGAGCCCTCAAGGCGGCGGCAGCATTACCTGCAACTAATCCGGACAAACCGGGCCGCATGCAAATCGCGTCCAAGGAATATTCTATTGACCGACTTATGTTGGATCATGGCGAGGGCGGAAAGGGAGATTTTATCAATAGATGGCTTCTGCATCAGCTTCGTCTATCGTCTACGAACGCGCGGTTGCTCCACACGACATTCACCAAAAGTCGAGGGCTCAAAATCCGTGATCTTGACCGTTGGCAGAGTGACGTTTTGCACTATTGGTGGAACGACGAGGGTGCAGAGCTGCCCGAAGATATGATGCAGCTCGTAACGAGTGAGCACTCCAACGATGGATCAAGAGTCGGGACGAATCGTCTATCGAGGGCAGTTACCTATACTCCGGGTATGCCTAGCGGTAGACAGAGTTACCCGCCTGGGAGCAGCGTTGCTGCGCACTCTGCCTGGGACTGACCTTGACAGCACTAACTTGTTGACAGAGAGGATCACTCCTCATTTTTATGCGTTTCAACGCCTGCTCTTATTTCTTCTGTTCACTCTGCATTAAGGAAACATTGGGCTATGGATTGGTGACTAAAAGGTGAACAGTTTTCTCTTGGTTTTGGGATATGCTGGAAATCAGGATGGCGCCAGTTACAGTCTGGGACAAAACAGAACTAGGCAGAGACCTAGGCCAGCACGGCATGTTGTTTCTTTTTTAGTTTGTTTGCTTAGCGGGTTTTGAGTATGTTTGTTATTGTTTTTTCCTTCTTTCTTTTTTCCTTCTTCTTTTTTGGCGCAGATGGTAGTGATTTCTTCTATACCCTGTTCTTGTTGTCGACTGAGGAAAGGAGATAATGTATACGGATATACCCTTGGTTTAACTGGACGAGGTAGGTAGATGTAAAAGGGCAATAGATTGGCTGAGTAAGAAGATGTTTCAACAGAGCTCTGTGGAAATCTAGGTTATCTCAAGGCTGGAGATTATTTAGCAGTTCATCTGTTGACGATGTTAGGGGTGGTGTTGACCTTTATTTCTATGTCACAGTGAGAGTCTCTTTTGTGGTTTCTCATACTGTAATTTCTCCACTACAAAGCAACAGTTCCCGCAAACGGCGGGTCCCAGAGCCACGAGACGCGATGGTTCGGGACGAGCCTCGCGGGGACGGGGAGATCCACCATTTGTCCTTGTACCAGTACATCAAGACCATCGAGAAGCTAGAACGGGGTTACAGGCTAAGCCCTTTCTTCGCTTAGAGCAAGGAAGAGGGGGGAGTGTGCGTCGAACGGCCGAGATGAAGAGGAGAATGGGAGGCATGTGACTGAACTGAACTGGACTGAGTGCGTTTTTGTAATTTCTGGTTTTTGGTGTCCTTCAACTGGTACGACTGTTATTGTCCTTTTCTACCAATTGACGTTTTACAGTTCTCTGATTTGCCAACGATGTCGTACCACTGATGAGACAAAACTAAAGTCTCTTGTCTTTTCCGTTTCCTGGTTTTGGTGAGGGCTTGGTTCGGCAAATTACAAAGATGCCCCCAATAAAAGGTGACAGACGAATGGATTGGATGCTGACTGCGCCGAGTGGAGAGAGAAAAGAGAGACATAGTTCCATTGGATGGTTGGTAGGAACACTTTGAGACAAATATGCAGCAGTCTCCGTACATAGATTGTATTTTTTCGATAACTAGTACATACTACTGCGGATACAGGATACAACCACAGTGTAGACTAAACTAGGCTACTAAGGTATGCCATGCTGACATGACCAAGTGCGTTGACTAACATGGAATGCCCCTGTAGTTAAGGCTGGGATGATGTGAGTTGGAGTGCAAATGTGCACATCTTTCTTTGTTGCAGGAGTGACTATCACCATTAGATTCTATACGTTACTGTATAATAGACAAATGTCGTATCATACAAAAACATGAGACAATCGAAATGTAACCGTAAAATATCGCAATCAAGGAAACCCATCAATCGCTAATATACCCTCATGCATTTCACAGCTCCACCATCTGTTATCCCATCCATACAACGCAGTACAATCAACCCACAATGCAAAACATACATCCATCTTCCCCACGTTTCTTCAACTAAAGAAGAAACAATGAGGGAAAAAAGTAAACAAAAACCCCCTCTCAAAAGCCGCTTCCTCCCGTGCTGCAGGCATGGGTATGAACATCCGGCCGTATTCATCAGACCCTTTGCTTCGTGGGGGATCATCCCGCGTCTTTCGACGTCATCTGGCAGTTTTTGGAATGATGCAGTGTGATATATACTCGTATTCATTATCCCAGACTGTCGATAGAGTACACTGCATACCGTTTGTGTGATGAAGCGAGATACCTGAGGAGATAGATAGATAGAAACAAGACCCGATAGATGTGCGGCTCTGCGATAACGGGTAAATAAATACATAGGCAGGCAGAGATACTTTCGGAGCACACCGGTCCGGATATGACGTGCATGCTGAATCGTTCATGAGGACAAGATCAGCTTTTCGATCATCATGTCTCACGGGTTCGGGGATGCGTTACATCGTCTGCTTTTGGTGCTGCTTCATGCACATGAGAGCACACATTATGCTTGAGCCGAGTGAACCCTCGTAATGATAAGAGTTGGAAGTGATATGCCTTTGCTATCCGTGGACACTTTAAGCTCCACCTCCCTAAGTCTTAGGGTATAAAAATAAGTAGTCTAAGAACTATAGTCTAAGAAGCATAAAGTGACCTACTAATTTCGTCTCTTATGCTTCTAGCAGTCAATTTTCCCCTGAGGCTATAGCTTACAGTGATCCAAAAAGCTACACATTCTCTCTATGTTTTGTTCCACTCCGAACTTGCATTTCAACATCCTGTGTGATACCCTGACCACATTAAAATATATCTTGTTAAAGGTAAAGACAATTATACTTGTAGCAAACAATATGTGCCTATTGTCAGGACGACCATCTCTCTAGCAATCTGTGGGTATCCAGGTTTAACCAAAATGACTCAAGTAGTAACCACGTTCCTATCATTACTCCTCCTCAAACAAACGCTTCAAGGTTGTCGGGGACTGGGGAGGATTCGAGTCTTCATTGAGCCAGTCAGTAATGCTGGGTCTCCTTTTTGTGTTGACATTTGTACCCAACTCGTCTCTGGGCTTTGGCGGGCTGGGAGCAGCAGCACTGGCCTCAACAGTGTACTCAGGTTCCTCCTTGGCCCAGAACATCCATTTGCTTTTCCTTCTCGGTTTGGTCTCGGTCGCAGCAGATGATTTCTGATCTGTCAGTTGTTCGCTCTTCTTGGACTTGCCCATCTTGAATCCTTGACTAATGCGTCGCCAAGTCAGATTGGTCATGTTGTCGCTCTTCTTGGTTGATTTGACGGCCATAACATTGCTGCGTACGGGGTGAGGTGACAGAGTCAGATCTGGTGGGCTTGCCACATGCCTCAAGCGTCTGCGAGATTTTGCAGATGCGCTGTTGTATCGATTGTCGCGGCTGTCCGGATGATGGCTGTGGTAGGCATGATGACTGTGTCTGTGATTTCTGGGCCGTTCAGATGAGGAGTATGAAAGCTCTGCCGAGTCCTTGCGGTCTATGTGCTTTCTACGAAGATTGCGCATGGCTTCATCATTGACGGAAGTGGCCTTGGTAGCATGGGAAGACTCGCTGGTGCGGGGATACGAATAAGGGTCAACGCGCGAGTCGGTCGAATTTCTGGCTCTCGAATGCATAGATGTAGAGTAGGAGTTCATAGGTATAGACGGACGCCTCGAGTATGATGGCTCTCGAGAGTGGCTAGACGAATAGGACCCGGCATAGGATGCAGTGTTGGAGAGTGTCGCATAGTTGTAGAGACCCAGTCCAGTAACACTAGAGATTGACATGATGGCGATTATTGAAGTTGAATAAATGATAAACAAAGACGTTTGGAGAGAATGAAGTAATAAAATACGAAAGTGTCGTTCATCCGAGTCGAGGGTGAGAGAACGTGAGTGTCGAGATGTTGTAGGTGAAAGGTGTGAGTTATGGAAAAGAGTGTTTTCCTTGAAGATAAAGAATGTTTAGTGGTCGAGGTGTGCCTTCCTTACAGGTAATAGATGAGGTTTGAAGAAAATAAGTACCTAAGTTGTTACTCTGTGGAAGGAGGCTTCCAACATGTTTTATACCTTTCTCACGACACTCAAAACTTAGTCACAACGCGTGTCCAATCCCCTCTATTGACAACATCTTGATCAGAATAAGCTTTCATATACAAGATACATTTTAGGCTGCGGAGCAGTACATAAACTCTGTTCTCACCAATACCGAATATCCACCTCTGTCCCCATCTCAAGATACCTTCATTACATGCGCCCATCCCGCCTTAGAGGATGTCTTCTATAACCCCAGACCGCTGCCCAACCAAATTATTGCTCTAAGTTCTGGGGAAATTTGAGTTGGAAGCCGTCTGCCAGGGACAGACGACGGCTCCATTAGGATAACAAGCCATCTCCTCAGACGTGCGAACCAGATGCACAATGTTTGTCGGCTCGTGTTGCCACTCCATTTCAGTATCTTCTTCTGTGGTGCTCAATTCAAATGCGAGCTCGAGCATGTTGCTGTATAGATTGCCCATCCTGGAGCAGAACTCCTGTTTCTCTATTGGTGTGGTTCTGTTCTTGTTTATAATGCTGTTGTGGAGGCTAAATAGCGTCGTCCGAATAGTGTCAAGGGACTCCTTGTTTTCAGAATGTTGTTTCTTTTTATGAGATCGTCGTCCATCGGGACTTTCGTTATGAATGTCTGGCTTCTTGATTATAGGTGACTTTTGCTCCTTTTTAAGACCCTTTCGGTCTTTCTTGCGTGATTTGACGTCTTTTGGCATTGTGTGATATCGGTTTATTATGAGGCATCCATCCAAGTGATGGTAGATGGAGTGATCCGATGTGATTGAAGATAGAAAGATAGCATGATCGATTAGTTCAATAAATAAGGAGTCGAAGTATCATTTGGGTGAATAGTCATAATGGATACCTTTGTATACAGCTGGTGGCCTAGTCCAAACCAGGTCTGAAAGATGGTAAAGAATCAACAGGCACTACATGTTAATCAGTAGTATCTACACACAAAGCCCAAGATGGTTGACATGATCAATATTGGGAATTGAAAGACCCAGTGCAGCGTGCAGTTCTTTGTAGAAACGGTGTTTGGCCTTCAAACCTGCATCAGCCGCCAAACCAAGGGTGCTCTTTGTTCATACACTGACCTCATTCTTGCGGCCAGACCAACTATATACAGGGGCGAATCCACAACTGTTGCCTTTGTGTAAAGTTTGCTTACTGTTACGCATATCGAACCCAGGAAGAATATTTTCTCTTGAGATCTTGTCCAAGACGTACCATAGCTTCTTGGTACCCAGTCACAGTTGCATGTATATGCCAGCCTGGGTCCAAGAATGCATGCATGATTGCTCCAACATCAAAGTCTGTTGAAAGGTGAGAGTAACAAGTCACATTCAAAAGGAATTCAATCTCTTTTCGGATCTCTTTCCGATGCCGTGGTAGCCCAGCCTTTTTTTTCTGCGAAAAACCGCAGTCATTTGAACGGAGATGATCCTGGATGTATCACGGATAGGACAAGCCGATGTAGGTCAGGAGTTAGAGGTTCTCACAAGTCTTGGGCTTTACTGCGGACGGTTCACGGCGGTGCAAAGGATTAGCACGCAATGACTGTTAAAGTCTGGTCTCTTTTATCGTATTTATTTCTGTACCTTTCCCCCTGAAAGAATCACATCTTGCGAGTTCCATATCAAAATTCAGAATTGATATGCGACCAAACTACGCCCCAAGTTTTATCCTGGCTACCTGGGAGGAGGAACGTGGCAGTAAGATCCGTGGAACACAATGAGCAACACTAGCATGGTGCGGCAGACACAGCGGATCTGTGATGCTGTCCCTGTGGCTTGATAGTGCAAGGAAAGTCGTCCATGTGGTAATGTGAACCGAGAGGTTGAACAAGTTCATGCAGGGGGGACCCCGAGCCGTGATTCTGCTCCCAAGTCGGTATAGCTTCACACAGCTTACCATGGATCTAGACGATAACTGTAGGGGTCGAATGGATAATAGCAAAGGAATCTTGGCCAAGGATAGGATTGTATCACAGTCAGGTCAGAGGGGGAACAGAGTTTGAAATGTGATCTTGGCTATTGGCACCTTGAACTTATTCAAAGAAGACGTGAGGGAATGTAGTCATCTACGCCTTACGGAGTATGTAAAACAGGTAGGTTTCCTTTCTCAGCACAGCTGTATGATCTTCCGCGACATGGTTCACGAGAGCGAAGGCCGAGCTCGCGCTCGTGCACATGGCTTTTAGCCGGAGAGGCTAGCCGAAAGGCGTACGTAGTATCCATGGATCAGATCAATTTCATTAATTTGGTTAGATGATGGGTTATTAATGACGCTAGCTTTGCCTTGCCTTGACAACAACTGGCCACTAATATTTCATTTCTTACAGTTCATTCCTTCCAGGGTGCGCAAACTGGCTGAGACAGTTGAGACGGAAAATAGCCAAGTTGCTGAGGTATGTAGCCTATCCCGGGTAGTTGGGTGATACCCCGGATTTTGTAACCCCAGATACCCGGGGTGGCTTATTGTAAAGAATCTGGGCTTATAGAGAACAGACGCCAGATTGCCCAAAGAGGCGCAACATTTTCAACACCCAACAACTGCGGAAAGAGTCAAAGATAATATTAGCCATCCCGTCGGATGTGATACAGAGGAAGATCCGGAGTCTTGAGGTTGCAACGACAAGGATCAAAGACCTAGGCTACTCGATGTGTCAGCATGGATGTCACACTTTTACCTTTGAAGGAATAAGATCCCAAGTCTAGACTCTATAGTCATGCCATCCTAGCTGGTAACAAAAAACGTGACCTATATTCAACATGGATGTGTTGCAAAAAGCTGTTATTTAGTTGAGCCTCCGAGTTCTGACGCCGTGGCGTTTTGAGTGCAGGGGATTTAATGGAGGGAAAACAAGACGGAATCGACCGATTTTTCATGCACGCAAGGGAAATGTGTCACGATACACAACACTGCAGTAGGCCTGTTTGCTCGCGTGGCAGTTCTCAGCGATCGTTTCCCAGCATGGGAACGGTGCTCGTCTCACGCACGTGGTTGATAGCACCGGCGGCGAAGATAAATCGGCAGAGGCGTTTAGAAAGGAAACATTTGAGATGAAATCTGACTCGAGTTAATTAATGTGATAGATATAAATCAAAAGTGAGGCGACCGTGGGAGATGAGGACAGATTGGAATCGTTCAAGGAGAAGCTGTTCCGAGTTAAAGGAGGATCATCCGTATACTATACTCGGGCTAGACCATCTTGGAAAGAAAAGATTTTGATGTAGCAAACACGAGCCACTGATCGACTTGGAAGTCTGCTAATGGATAAATGTAGTTCGACAGAGTAGTCCAAGCTGGCGGTCAGAGCAACCAACGTTGGACAGACAAGAGAGAAATGAGCCCCAGCTTTGCTAATCCCGGACCCTCTCAGCATCTACCGTCAAGAACTAGTCTAGCCAAGACTGGACGTCTCCAGGTGAGACAAGGGTTCCCCGGAGGGGGCGATTGAGGCCAAGCTAAGCCATGGTAAATGACACTGAACCCCCGCATGCCAAGTGCGACGTTGACGTTAAGGAGTAAAGAGAAGGGGAAGAAAGTCTGGGGGAGGGTCTTGTCTGTGCTGATGGTGTTGATGTTGATGTTGATGTTGATAGAAGATGGCGATAGTTTCGATGTGAGATCCAGTCAAACACCTATTGAGGTTGAAGACGTTGGTAATGCGGATGGCAGTGTCGGATGTCTCATTCACTGAGGCCGCCATATCCCGTCCCTGATCGGTACCTGGTTACCTACTAATGTTGATATGACAGCAAACGTCCTTCTTTTTCGGAGATGGCTTGGAAAATAGCGTCGAACGAAAACAGTTTAGTTCTGTATATCAACATAAACACACTTTGTATTGTTCTATCAAATGTGGCAGACACGAGTATCGCTATTGTATTGTACCATTACCGACCAACATACCTGTTTCTTCTTCCCCCTTCCTCCAACAAGTGAATTGTTGGTGGGGCCCATTTCGCTGCTTCTCCCACGCTTTAGCTTACCTGCAGTGCAGTATCGCCTCTCCTTTCTCTCTCTATGCCTGTAAGCATCCATCGTTGTTGTGGAACATCCAAAGTTCCTCCTCCCATCCGGAGCCATACAACAGGCCTCAATTTAGAATGCATACTCAAGGTTAGCTGGGATCCCCTGCATAATCCCATTTCTTCAACAACTCGGTCCATAGCGTCAATCCGGGCTTGTTTCTTTTTGTTCCATCATCCTTTATTTCGTGGTGTACTTCCTATCTAATCACGCTAATCATGAAGAAACTCATAGCCTAATATACAGCTTACCTCAAGTCTCGACACCCTCTTCTCTAGTGACTCTTGTGCAAAGTTGACACAAACTGCCGTACTATGATGCTCCATTAGGCGAATAACACGGTGGCTTGGTACCATCGATCGTCCTCCCGCTGTCATGGCTTCTATTCAAGGGGTGGCTTGTCTACCTCTCTCAGCTCCAGGATTACAAGGGATCCTCGTCCATGACTTGCACCTCTCTTCTCATAATGTTCTAGCGTCCCGCAACCGCAGCAGATACAACAAGTAAGCGCCATGGCAATATCACAGTACATAATGGGTGCACCACTGAGAGTGTTCCTCTTTCTTCCGTCTCTGGTCTTTTCTCGGTATATTTCTCGACGTTCATTATTCCTTTGTCCCGGGTCTTTGAGTGAGACTACTTGTATCTTACATCTCGCCCCTCGTCTCACCAGTTCATGCCATCATTCCCTTACCTACTTATTTTCTATTCACATCTGCATTAAGTATTCTTTGTTTATAACGTCTTCCGCATGTTTGCAAACATTATCCGAAGCCACCTTTTTGTCCAAAAGCCTAACTGATCACCTTACCCCTGCGAAAGCCTCTTTCTTTAACTTGGCACACTCTGATATGGCGTTCTCCAATCTCGATTCGCAAGGCAATTAATTATAGTCTTGGCTGTTGGTTGTTACTGTTGGACTCTATCTGGACTCGACGCTTGGGGCACTCTCTCACCTCGGTGTAGGACACCTGCCTACCTCACTTCACCTTTGTTGGTCCTAGGCAGTACTAACCAACATTGACTAAACGCTCTTTCTATATCTGGATTGAGGTTTGCCTCTTTTCGATTAAGGAATTATTTGAGATCATCTCTTCGCTTCAACAAACATTCGTTCACTTACAAACAAGAATGGTGCATTATTCATAAACCAACCGCTTCACTCTTCGCTCTTGTTGAGACTTGGAACTCGATTTTGTCGACACAATCACTACTACGATACCTATTTATCTTTCTTCCAGTTCCTTTGAGACTTGACAACTTCACAATGTCGCGGCATCTCGACGAAAGTCATCTCGACGCTCTGAGCATCATTGAGCGAGTCAACTCCGTCTTTTCATTACTCGGCTCCGTCTTCATTATCGGTACCTTTCTATTATCCAAAGCATTCCATAAACCGATCAACCGCTTGGTATTTTACGCTTCCTTTGGCAATATGATCGTCAATATTGGCACATTAATGTCCAGATCATATATTGGTGATTCTAACTCTGTGGGCTGTCAATTGCAAGCTTTCCTTATCCAGATGTGAGTCCACTTAGACATTGTCGTAGCACTCAACGCTGCTGTAATACTAACATATATTATCAGGTTCATGCCCGCGGATGCCTTCTGGACTCTCACCATGGCCATCAACGTCTACTTGACGTTTTACTACAAGTTTGACGCTCAGAGATTGCGTAAGATGGAAATCTACTATCTTGTCGCATGTTATGGTATCCCATTTGTTCCAGCCTTTGTCTACATATTTATCCGGAACGACGATGGTGAAAGAATGTACGGTAATGCCACACTCTGGTGCTGGGTCAGCACCGAATGGGACATATGGCGTATTATAACTTTTTATGGTCCTGTTTGGTAAGTGACTGCTTGGCTTAGGCTTGCCTATGATTCCGAATGGGTGCTGACCGTCTCAGGCTTGCTATCATTGTTACCTTCTTCATCTACATCCGTGCCGGCAGCACAATCTACCGCAAGCGCAGAGAATTGCACGGCTTTAGTTCGAACGACCGAGATTTAGCTTACGGCGGTGGAGATCATATTACTACACTCAAGACGACCGAAGTCTCGGTGACGACAGAGGTTGTGAAGCCGGACGGGATCCTTTTACAGCCCATGGGCGGCCGTGTGCCAGGCTGCGGCAATCCTAGCGCTACCAGTGGAAACTACTCAGTTCACATATCAGCTCAGCCAAGCTCTGGGGATATCGAAGAGGAAATGTCCCCTATCGACAGGGAGCAGACACGAGCCAGTATCCAAGTTCCTCAACAGCAGCAACGTTCTGCCGCCCAAACGAATCGAAGACGGAATCGTGAACTTAACAACGCCTCGTGGCAGTACACCAAGTGCGCCATACTGTTCTTTACGGCGATCTTGATCACATGGGTTCCCTCGAGCGCCAACCGTGTCTATTCCGTTTTCCACAAACGTTCGTCGGGACCTCTCGAGTTCATGAGCGCCTTTGTGCTTCCCCTTCAGGGTTTCTGGAATGCCCTCATCTACATCGTTACATCTTGGAGCGCGTGCAAAAACTTGAAGAGCGACTTACGCATGGGTCAACGTCCAGATGTGACGGAACTTGTCGGTGGTATGAGACCTGAAGTTGGACCTAACCACCACACGGGTCACCACCGACATAGTCTTGGCCATATCCGACGATCCAATAAGTACGAGACGGAGAGTATGACTGAATTGGCAAACGAGAGCCGGTCAACTTCGAATGACGAGCGACGAGATCATGAGTCTGTATGATAGTTGTCAGATGCTTGTTTGGATGCGATGTTCCAGGCGTTTTTTCTTTTTTAATATTAAAACATGAAGACATGACTATTTGGTGTACAAGACGTGCTCCAATTAGGGAAAGACGAGGTTTGTGCGAGTGGTAGTTACGCCAGCGTTGGAGAAGAAGACTATGGATACCCAAGTTTTGTTTTTAGTAGTAATAAAAATTACAATGACATTTAATTTTTCAAAAGCTGCTTGAGAGTTGGTGTGAGGAACATTGGCCTCCAATACTTGGGCTGTGATAAACATAATATACAAGCCAAAAAATCAGTTAGAGAGGTATGATCCTGAATGCTCTCAGCAGTCCAAGATCTCAGTACTAGCGGTCCTTGGATTGAAGTTTGTGGCGTTGACAAATCTTCATATATCCAGGTATACATTTAAGTTAAATATAACGGTTGAACCCGTCGACACTCGTGGCAACAAGTCGTCGCCTTCCAACGTTGGTCCCTGCATGGCTCCGGATCTTGACGGCCGTACTTGAAGATACACTTCCATTCGTCCGAGTCAGATCCCAAAGTTCTCTTGCGGAGTCACGACTAATCTTGGACATGGCATCAGGGGTATGAGATGGTTTTCGTGTCTGTAGTGGCTTGCCAAGGGTCTTCTGGAATTGACCCGTGCCCGTTGATGACTTTGTCTGCTGTCGATTCTTGGCGGAGTGTGCGCCGTATGATCTGATCCGAACGGAAGGATCAGGGTTTGATATAAGTGTGGGGAAGGTAAATTCAGGGTTTGGTTTGTGGTGTTGGCTATATGTTGAGTGAGGCTCTAAAGTTGAGGTTATCACCATGGTTGATTTCTTGTGGATACTTGAGTTCTCTGGTGTTGAGGATTATGGAGACCAGTCTTTACATAAGCGGGATTTATTTATTGATTACTATGTGACTCAAAATGGGTTCTTTGAGGTTTTGAATCACTCTTGGAATGTTCGTCATAAACAACCATTTTTATCTCTTCCCGGTCGTTGTCAATGTCGACAGGAACCAAGGACATCCAACCCAACCAGTGATTTGGAACTTCAAATACCGAGGCGATTTATGCACAAAACAGGTCCAAGGAACAGATTTTTAAACAGATGTGGCTTTTCATTTCGTGGCTGTCTAACATTTACTCTCGCATACAACTATTTACTTAAACAGAAGCACTGCCGTTACCATTCCCCTTTATTATCTCAAAAGGAAAAAGGAAATGCTTCTATCATCCAGACAAGATTTAACATACAAGACCCAAGCGTTATCCTTGCCTTGAAAGTCCACTCTTGCTAGAAAGGGTATCTTTCCCCCTGAAGAAGCCAACTGCTCTGTCTCTAACGAAGTGGCTTTAAAAAAGAGAGAAGAAACTGAAGCCCAGGTTGCTCAAACCAGCAGCATCCTTACTTCCCTTCTGGAATCTAGATTCTCCAAAACCCTAAGGTTCTTCTTCAATCTGTTCAAGGGTCTCCTCTGGTTTGACCCCATCTATAATGTGGTAGTCCCAAACTGTGCCAAGCTGGAGGCATTCGTTGACGCAACCTTCGTCCTCCCACCACCACTTTTCTCCGGTGACAAAGTTGCCCCAGACTTCCATCCACAGCAGACGGCCGACGATGCTTCTCACTTCGGCTTTGACCTCCCGTTCGGAGGGAGCTTTGTCGACGAACGGATCGTTGTCGTCGACTTGGCTGCGGATGCTGGCTGAAACGGCATAGAACTTGGATGTTGTGAGAGTGCTGCCCTGGCCACGCAGTCCCGCATCGCCCATCCAGTCCGGGAACAACTTACTCGGGTTAGTGCATCGGAAGTGTCTCTCTAGATTGATCAGGAGATGCTCTTCGAGCCACGTTCGCATACGGTGGCCGAGTGTTCCCGCACAAGGGAGCGGGTCTATGAGAGTGAGATGCAGAGAGCCGCCGACCCGTAAGTGCTTGCTGATATTCTTGAGGACCCCGGGAATCTCGGTCGAGGGGCTAGCGGAAGGAAGCGACAGCGAGTACACTGTATCGAAAATGTGCTTCTCGAGCGGAAGCGTTGAGGTCGACACAGACGGCACAAGAATCGGGTGAACCTTGGCGAACTGAGCGGTCGATAGAGGTTCTGCGGATATATGATGAACCTGCTTTGTCGGGTGTAGAGCTGCAAGGTAAGCGGTGGTAACTAAATTCGTCAGTATTTTTTGTATGAGGTTCCCGTGGAAACTTACTGCTGGATTCGTAGAGTGCCAGAATTTTAAGATTGGCGGTTACACTCATCGCGTTGGAAGCATCAATGGGGCTATTCTTCTGCTCAATGTCCATGTGGTTTAGAATGGACAGCATCCATCGCTTCAATTCCATGTTCAACTCTGGATGGAGGCTCTCATCGTTGACACTCCAGATTTCCTTAATACGTGCAAGCACCACAGCGGGACTTGCAGCAGCCATTTGGTTCACTTGACTCTTAAGAGCTTCAAAGTCTATCTCGCGGTTGGGTTGGACTTGGCTATCAGTCTGAGACTTCATCTCGACATCTTCGTCGGCCGCTGCCTGTCGCACCTCCTCGGCTAGTCGATCGATGTACTCCCATTCCTCGGGCGGTCGCCAAGAGTCCGGATCATTAGGCCGGAAGTTGATGATGATGGGGGCCTTTGATGCCTTTGGAAGTCGAATGCTTGGTACAAGGCAAGGGATCGAGTCATTTTGAAGTAAGGGAACTGGATCGTGTCTGTGACATGTTAGTGATAGGTTCTTCAATTCTCTGCAACGTACCCTTCTCCGATCGAGTCTGAAGGTGTAGCGGGATGATCAACATCAGCCTCAGAAGAAACACGCATGTCGATAGACAACTCTGGCTTGTCAGACTCCGATCTTGGGGGAGTTTGCGATGCTCCAGCATGTTTAATAACGTAGGACCCAGACCCTCTACGACTGCAATTATGGGTCTCGTTAATAGAGGCCGAAGTAGAAGCAGAAGCAGGAATGTTTGCCTTTTGTGCTCTCGCGGCACCGAGAGACACTTCAGACAGGTTGGCCATCAGTGCTGGACGGTGATAACTCCCCGAGTTGGAGCGAGAAGAGTGCTGGCTTGGGGTCAGAAGCCCCGTTTTGACCTTGTCTCTATTCTTTGCCTGCTTTCCATTTCGAGGTCGAAGGAAGCCAAAACGGGACTCGGTAGATGATGTGGTACTTGCGATGGACGCAGATCCTGGGATGGTGGAGGTCTCTTGTTCTCTTTCTTTCTTCTTGGCTTTTTGTTCGCGTTTCTTTTCTTTCCTGGCGCGATGCTCGCCGACGAGCTCACGGTCGGGGTCAGTCCAATATACGTCAAACATGACGTGGGGAAGCCTAATTAAATCTCCACCAGTGTCTCTTCTTTCGGGATCTATGCCTAGGTTTTGGGGTGATCTTCTGAGAGTGGGTAGTGTTAAAGGTGTGCTTGCTCAGGCAGGTCGAGTGGATGAGGATATAGCGAGTAGCGCCGTAGGTGACGCTGTGAATATGATAGCAAACAAGTTTATTGAATCAATTCAACGGATTCAAAAACTGATAGCGAGGTTGAACTAATTAATCCCCTGGTATTCTGTACTCTGCAAGACAGAGAGGGGGGGGTATGAGGATGGAGGTGGTGGTGGTGGTGGTGGTGATAGATGTCGACGTAGAGGAGGAATGGAAGTTAGCAAAAGGAAATAAAGTTCCGGACACTTCTAGAACCTAGAATTGTAATTAGTAAAAAATTGCGTGCAACCAACCTCAAGGGAAGGGCAAAAGTGTGAGAGAGCACGAAGGATGGGTGGGCGCTGTCACTTGCTGGGCACTGACAAAAGGTGCACCAAGTTGGCTCTTTGAGTGACAGCCGGTGCTTCGTTTGTCACTGTTAAGTCGGAAAAAAACAGGTACATTTCGAGTGACTAAAGGCTCTAGTTTTTAGATCATTGAGAACCATAAGGATTCCTTTGTATATCAAACCCCATGTTGTTCTATCATACGTTTACAAATGCTATCAAAAGGGCGGTTAAGTGTGAAGATGAAATTATTTACTGTACTATAGGTTCTTATTAACTGCTTCTTGAGGCTGAAACTCATACTGAGTGTCATATGCGTCATTGAATCACCGTGATACAACGTCTAGGTTGACTGGCTATGCGAGCAAGGATCGGTTGTAATTGAGGCCTATCAAGTGGTGAGCGTCGGAAAGACTATGGGTGCATTGACAGATATACTTATTATCATTCCGACTGGATCAACATACACTGGACTGTTTAACGGTTGGATGGATCTTGACTGTAGAGTAAAGGCTCAACATGCTGGACAAATGCTCAGATTTGTGAAAGTCGAAAGAAAGTATACAACACTACAGGGAGTTTATATTATGACTACCAACTCGCGACAAGAGCTAACCCACTACAATACAGGCTTTGATATCTTATCATTTGTCATTGCATGATCGAGTGTCATTGTTCACCAGCATAACACAAATCTCGGCCAAAGTCATTCTCGGCCTTGTTCCCCCAGATCTAGAGCAAATCCAGCAAGAACCGGTTCATTTCGGCTACAGACATACTGAGTATTGTATCACGTCGGCATTAGCCAACCATTTCTCTCGCCACCTTTGATACCCGACGCCATCTCGCTTCATCAACTTCGGCGGGCTGCATTAGGTGAGACGAACGCCTGGTTTGTGCGACCCGGGACTCGTGTACTCAACAGCACTCTCGGTGATGGACACAGGGGGTCTAAGGGTGGTGATCTCATCAGAAAGGTGCTTCTGGGTGGATTCTTCTGCATTCAGGGGTAGGATGTAGTGTGGCCGGTCAAGTCGACGTTCAGGCATGTCGTGTCAAAATCAATAAACTCAAATATTTGAAGACTATAAATACATGGTGTCAAGTATCATCATGGATTTCTACACTGCTCATCCCAAGGTAGACATAGTAAAGGGTGTTTGCTGCAAACCACAGCAACGTCGTTCAAACACAAGACATGATCGATGCCATAAACAAGCCCTGCTTCCAAGCAAACATTTTAACGTATAACCGTATATATCTCCCTTCGTTTTGTTTTCCAAGGACAAAGCTTATGCTGTGCGTGTACTCGTACGTGGTGCATGTATGTATGTGTAAGCATCCACTATCCCATCTTGCGCAACTCGCAAACTTGGACTCGAAGTTCGAGTCCTGTGATGCATAGGTAGTTTTATTACCATAGATTCGGTAAGAGGGTCTCTTTTTTGTTAAGGTCTTTAGCTGCGGGGTTGGGGAGAGGGAGAGACAAAGGCAGTTGCTGGCTGGCAGTGGCAGCAACTGTCAGGGAACTTGACCATCAACATCCAACCGTGATCCTCTTACTTCCTTTCACTGTTTTTTTTCTTCTTTACCACTGCACACCTGGTCTTGTTTAATATAATTTTCGGATTCTTGGACATCACCGCTGGAAAGGAATCTTTTTTTCTTCATCTCATCTGGTGTCAACTTTTACTCTTCAAGGGCGTTCATTGGCGTCACAAACATCCCAACCTCGTCACTCGTTTCTCTCTCCTCCACATTCACTCGCTTCTTTTTCACATAATCATTCTGTCCGTCTCTCTACTGACCCTTTTCTGTCCTGTCTTTGACTTACCTTCTCCTCCTCAACTCAACATCACAACAACCCTCGGCGATGGCTACCTCACCTCCGCCAGTTCACGACATGATGCCTCCCCACGATGAGCAGTCTTTCGCCCAAGAAGAAGTCGGCCGCTCTCGCTTCTGCGGTTTTCGTGATTTCTGTGATAACCTCGATAACTACATCACCACTTCGCGTTTCGGTCATTTCTTTCGCCTCTCCGGTAGCGGTCACGTAAGAAATTCCCCTCTCCTAGACATCATCAACTGACCATTTCTCTAAGCCAGACGAGATTGCTGGGTCAACCTTTCTTCGAGAATGCCGGGCTGGCTTGACTACTTTCGCCACTATGGCATACATTATCGCCGTCAATGTACGCAATACACTCCAACCCTTATGCTCGACCTTTGGCTAATTTTTAATAGGCGGCGCTGCTCCAACAAACTGGTGGAACTTGCGAGTGTGATCTGGTAGACAGAAAGGCCTGTGACAAAATTGAGTCTTATATGGCTTGCAAAGAAGGTTGGCATGTTCCAAATTCTTTACGGCGTAGGTCAAGACTGACTGGAGTGATAGATATACGACGAGACATCATTACCGCTACCGCCGCCGTCTCAGGCATGGCGAGCTTCGCCTTCGGTCTTCTTACTAATCTCCCTGTTGCTATCGCGTAAGTCATTTTCTCTTGGACCACCTCTCAGTCCATGCTCACTCTTTGGTAGTCCTGGTATGGGTCTCAACGCCTACTTCACCTTTCAAGTCGTCGGGTACAATGGAAGTGGTCCCATTTCGTACCGTCTCGCCCTCACAGCTGTCTTTGTCGAAGGTCTCATCTTCATTTTTCTTGCTCTCACAGGCATGCGTCAGTGGCTCGTCAAGCTGATCCCTGCCACTATCAAGACTGCCACAGGTGTTGGTATCGGCTTCTTCCTCACTGAAATCGGTCTCTCGTACTCTGCTGGAATCGGTGCGATTACTGGTGGAGAGGCCACTCCCCTTACTCTAGCGGGTTGTCCTCAGGAGTTGTGGGACGAAAGGGGAGTATGTCAAGGAGGAGTAATGACAAGCCCCAAGGTCAGTCGAATGAGCTTCTAACCTAAGACTCGTGAGCTAATCAGAACAGCTCTGGATTGCAATCTTTTGTGGCGGTATTGTCACGGCCTTTCTGATGGCGTTCCGCGTCAAGTATGCCCTCATTATCGGCATCTCGCTTGTCTCTATCCTCTCTTGGCCGTACGTACCCCTTCATACTCTATCAACGTCTTCTAACAAGCATACAGTCGCGATACTCCCTTCACCTTCTTCCCTCATGACGCAGATGGAGACCGCCGATTTGGCTTCTTCAAACAGGTCGTTGTCTGGCATCCGATCGAGAGAACTCTCAACGCACTTGACTGGAACTTTGGCGGCTCAGCCTCCCATTTCGCCCTCGCCTTGTTCACATTCCTTTATGTCGACATTATCGATGCTACCGCCACTCTCTACTCCATGGTTCGTTTCTGCGGTGTCGTCAACCCTCGCGACGGCGACTTTCCCCGTTCAACTCTTGCATACTGCACTGATGCTGCTTTCATCTCTGTCGGCGCCTTGTTGGGAAGTTCTCCTGTTACCGCCTTCATCGAGAGCGGCGCGGGTATTGCTGAGGGTGGAAGAACTGGCTTGACTGCCATGATGACTGGAATCTGCTTCATTGTGTCTGTTTTCTTTGCACCCATCTTCGCATCTGTCCCCCCTTGGGCGACTGGTTGTACATTGATTCTGGTATGTATTCTCTCAGCTCTCGCTTTACCAGTGACAGAACTAATGATATGAGTAGGTTGGTTGCATGATGATTCGGCAAATCACCCAGATCAACTGGCGATACATCGGCGATGTTCTCCCGTCCTTCGTGGTCATGACATTTATCCCTTTCAGCTACAGCGTAGCTTATGGCCTGATCGCGTAAGTCATCCACGTCCTTCCCCCGTCATATGCACTAATCTTGATCAGTGGTGTTTTCGTTTATTCCGTTCTCAATGGCCTTGTTGGCATTGTCGTCTTTGTCTCTCGCGGCTACATCGAACCCAGCGAGTACGACCTCAAGGAGTACTGGACCTGGAAAGGCTCTGGTCGTGCACCTTGGTTCATCCGCGCCATCCGACACCGCAGAAACCCAGAGGTAGACGACCAACCCACCGAATCCGAGCATGCAATGACTGACCTCACCTATGCCGAACGCCGTGACCACAGCAGCTCCACTACGGCTGCGTCTGCCGTCAAAGACGAGCCCCCTATGTCCCCTCCCCCCGATCGATGGGTACGCTAATTCAGAAGGAATATTACTCACGCATGACCCTTCTATTCTCTGTATTGACCATTTAGGAGAGGTTCTTCAATTTTGGAATTGTGGGAAGGAACAGGACTTGCTTCTGGATGAGGAACACAGAGCGTTGACGATAATGCCCCAAAAACAGTATATGAACGCAGTGTTGGTATTGGCACGATCGAGCAACTCGGTGAAGAGGACAGGCTGCGTTCAGAAAAGGATAAATACTGAGATGTTAAATGTCATGTAGGAACGTATGAAATGAGATATGAACTGTATATATCATTTTCTTAAACCCATAAGGACATCGGGCTCTCGTCTTAAACGTTTAACCTCTATCGTGAAGTCAGCCATTAGCCTAGCCACAGTTGTTCATAAAACCTGGTCATATAATATGGTATCTCCATTCCACCGTGACACGTTCATTAAGTATTTCAAGCACCCATATCAACATCACCATCTCCATCGCCGCCGCCGCCACCACCTCCTGTTCGACCTCTGTAAGCTTGCTCCGCATTCTTTCTCCTCTCCAAGCTCTCCTTCACCCACTTGTCGCACGCGGCATCACCACCCTCGGCGATCTTGCTACGCACCACACCCTTCATCACCTCACCCGCGAAGCCAACAAAGTTGTGTCTTCGCAGGGCATTCTCAAACATCCAGTCTCGGCGCTTGCGTTCTTCTCGTGCCAACAACTCTTCATCGCCAAAGTCTCGCGCTCGCTGTCGCAGGTCCCGGCACATAGCTAGGAGGTTGAAGCGGATCTCAGTAGTATCGTAGCGTGCAATTCGGCGTTGTAGAACATCAACAACCTTGGTAGCAAAATCGTCAGAGCTGCAGGCACCGTGGGAAATGGGAGCGGGCTGCAGGCCGTCGAGCTCGTAGAGTGTGCCATTGATTGGCGTATAAGCGATGAAATGGAAGGCATCCTCCGCCTCTGCTCCAGTCTTGTCCGTCTCATCGGCAAAGGGGCTGCTGCGGGCAAAGCTGTTGTGCACCTCCCGGATAAGGTCAGAGTTGCTGAGCGCCTCGCCGCGGAATTCGGGTGGCAGCACCATGGTGAATTCTCTAAAGTCGCCTAGCTGCTCGCCTATCTCGACATCCTTCGTCTTGTTTAGCAACACGCTAAGGAGGGCCTGTGTAGCACAAGCATTCTGAATCGTCTGTGCGGCGAAGAAGATGTTCTCGGAGGCGGCGTGGTCGAAGGAGCCGTCGCGGGGTCCCTCGGGTGTCGCATATGGTTGATCGGTCGGGTACTTGAAGAGGAAAATCACGCCGTAGACGGGCTGCAGGGTCAGAAGCTCGGATGGGTCGAGGGTGAGGAGTTCTTCGAATTGGACGTCTTTGACGCCGAGGTTCTCGATGAGGGAGGTAAAAACACCCTATCGGCTCCTTGTTAGCTTTTGGAGAGGTCAACAGTAAGGAGCTCAAATCGTACCGCATCGGACTCAACTGTAATAGCTCAGATTAGCATTTTGATATGTATAGGAAGAGAAGAGAGACGAACTGGTATTCCATCCGCCACTCATTGTGACGACAAGTGCAGCGTTTCCAAGATTCAGCTGTCTCCAAAGATTGGAAAATAGAGGTTCGGAAGAACAATAGTTATGTTCTCGTTGTTGGATTACGTAGTTAGTGTGTGGGCGTCTTGGGGTATCAGTGTTGTGTGAAAATGACGATCCTGAAGCTTCAAAGGCCAAATACGAAGCTCCAGGCCGCACGACGTCTGATATCATCCACCACCGATAAGATAAGAAATTCGAGGCAGCAACAAAGCTACGACATCATCGTCGCATTGTCAACATTCCTGTCTGTCAGGTGCTTCAACAAGATTTCAATGGCATCAAGTCAAAATTATTGATTACTTGCTCCAAATCAGCCGCTACGGGTACTTGCTTTCTGGCCTTTCAAATATACCAGCATAAAAAATAGACTAAACAGGCAAGCTCTCTAAAAAGAAGCGCTAGCTAATGAAAGAAAAATCAACACAAGGGCCTGCGCCCGGCTGCCTTCTGGGACGAGTTTCCCATTGAGAGAAACGAAATAAAAGAAATGGAATACCATCAACTCCAGTATTCCCCTTCGGCCCAGCGCCTGACTTATCTGACACGCTGGTATAAACTTTTCCACTCGTCCCACGTCTCATCTGAACACATGCAACACATGCAACACGTTGAAAGCCAATACCTACAGGTCAATAAGTAATTCCCTGCGCTCGCCATGATGATTGCCTTCATGAACTCCTTGCTCGCCTTGTAGTCTTTCATGGTCCTCTGGTGCCCTTTCCGCTTGATCTGTCTCAGTACCTGTAGTCGTTCCTTCGCCTTCGTTCTCGGCCGGGTTTTCATTATTTTCATCATTTTGGGCTGCTGCTGCCGCTGCAGCTGCCTCGGCTTCTCTTGCTTCAGCTTCTGCACGCTCCCTTTCAGCTCGCGCTGCTGCTTCCAGATTGGCGATATGCCTTTCTGCGACACCTGGTGCAATACTTGCTAGAAACAAGAGACCAGCTCTTTCCAGACGTCTGACTTGAGAAAGAATCCAATTATCTGGACCTTGGTGCTGCTCCACAAGCCGCCTTGCCATCTCAGTAGGATCAGGGTTTGGTCTGGGCTGCGGGTTCTGCTGGTTACGCTGCTCTGGTGTGGCGGCACCTTGTTGAGGCCTTGGCTCCAGGGGAACCAAGTTCTCCAGGTGTCGTCCCAGAGGTCGCCAAACGTGATCAGGAACTCCGTTGAGAACCCCGGTACTGAGCACAAAGATGAATACGGCGATCACAATAATACTAAGCCATCGAGACCAGCTCGCATCAGGAGAAGTAAAAAACCAGATAAACAATGCCAGACGGAACAGAAGCCAAATTTGTGGCCACAACTGGAGAAGTAGTGGCGGAAGTGCTGCCATCGGTGGGTTGCCTCGATGCATCAAGGGGCCCATGAACGCCCCGGGCTCTGGTTCTTGACCTTGATTCTGAACTTGACCTTGGCCCTGAGCCTGACCCTGGCGTACTTGTTCCTGCTGGGGCACAGGCTGTTGAGGTAAAGGCTGGAGGCGTTGTTGATTAACACGAAGAGGCTGTCCTTGCGGCTGGAACTGTCCCAAGTAATTCGGTGCCAGGGGACGATGATGGTGATGGTGGTGGTGGTGGGGATGTTGTCTATGTTGCATATGCTCATTTCCAGCTTCCTGAGTTTGACCAATCACGGTTTGCCGCAGTTGCTGGAGTTGTTGAAGACTTGTTTGGGTTCTAAGACGTGGGGTGTAATACGCCTCAGAACTAGTATTATTAAACAGCAAAGCTCTCGGTCCTTCAGGTGATGAGAGAATGTATACCTCAGGCCCTTGCCTGGGTTGGGAACTTCGAGAAGCTGCAGTAGGAGCAAGTCGAGTAGAAGCGGGCTCGGGGGTCGCCCGTCTGCTAGACATGACAGAATACCCATGTGGGTAAACAGGTGCCGGCACTCCGGATTGTGTCAGAGGACGATTATGTAAAGAAGTGCTAGAAGCGCTCCGCTGCATTGCACTGGCCGTTGATGACGTAGCTTGGTTAATATCAGCACTTCGGATGATGTTATGTACGTCGGCTGGTGACATAGAGACCCCGGCACCACCGCTCCCATGTTGCACGCCTCCTCCAGTTCTTACAACCGTCTCGACCTGGTACGTGTGCCCGTTAGGTCCAACATGCTCGCGATATATAGTTTGGCCTGGGACTGGGGCTGGGCTTGCTCGGCCGCTACCGTCGCCTACTGGGACAGTCCCTAGGCCGTTGTCTCCAACACCGCGCATACCCATCTGAGCTCTTGTGCGCTGATTCTGGTTAACGGCTCTTGCCATAGCCTCTCGTTGAAGGTTATTCAGCCACTGTGTCATGTTCTGGTGGTGGTGTTGAAAGGCCGCAGCTTGCTCAGGGGTATGAGATGGAGAGGGTGACGGCATGCGTGGCTGAGGGAACGGGTTAGAAGTCGGAGGCATCGAATTTCGCCAAGGCATCTGGTATCCTAAGCCATGGCCTTGGATATGTGGAGGTTGTGGTCGCGGAGGATTCGTTGGCGGGGCAGAAGCGGTTGGGCTGGGACCTGACGCTGGTGCTGAGACGGGAGCAGGAAGCGCAGGAGATGCGGTCGCGGCTGAGGATTGGTTGTCTTGCACATCGCGAATAACAAGATGAATAGTCTGTTGCTCGGGGTTGCGGACCTATATCAAGGGAAAGCCAAGCAGTCAGTTGGTTGATCCATGGTCAACGGTGTATATGTAAGAAGCATACCACATCTGCGCCGAATATATCAAGCAAGGTGTCGGACTCGCGAACAATGGCGCGTCCGCGATGAATCAAGCGCTGATTCTCATCGGCTGGGCGCAAGGGAAGGGTCTGTCGAATCTTGTCCTTGAGCTGTTTGACCGTAGTGCTGGTGGCAAGATTGGGAAACAGCAGGGGTCGGGTCACGCCAACAGACGGTGACAAGACCTGTACGTTTACAGTTTGTCCATCGCCTGCTGAAGGTATGGTGGTGGTAGATTTATCGTCTTCAGGACGAGTCGTAGAAGGCATAGAAGCCATGATGATCAAGCTAGTGGCATGCCACGCCGAGGTGAACTAAGGGTGAATGAAGTAGTCCGAAATGTCGGAGTGAAGGAGCGGCGACTATGAATGAAGGATGCGACGGATCGACGTCGAATAAACTATGGTGCAGGAACATATATATCGATAGTCGATAACATGAAAGCTCGCCCCTCGTCTTTGAATTGAGGAAAAGTAGCGACTTATTGACTGACGTCGGTTTGTGTCGTCTTACTAACACTAAAAGGGTCGCATGTCAAGGGAGAAGGTCTGGCGGCGAATGAAGTAAAGATGAGTACACGAGATGATGCGCAACAAGTGAAGAGTAGGTGCTGTAGAAGCTGTGATAAAGAAGTGTATATGTTTGTTGGCCCTGAAAAAGGCAACGCTTTTGCGGAGAGAAAGGAGCGATAAATGGAAGTTGTGGTTCAATCAACCTGGATAGTGGTCAGGGTGGCCTTTTGCCATTTGGGGTCCTATCCGTCGTACCTACCTCAGGTACCTAAGCTAAGCTTCTCAGGTACAGGTAACGTAGGTCGGTGCTTGAGCAATTGCGGTGTCGGTAGGTACGTACTCCTGTATTCAGTTGGAGTTGCTCATCGCTGAGTTGGACTGTTTATTCATCCAGTCTTACCCACATCTGTTCATCTCGAGCTTGTTCGAGAAGACACCCAAAAAAACCATTCTCGGCGGTCGGCGTCTTTTGCATCCGAGACCTACCAAGATGTGTGCGACTAACTAACTGGAAGCTTGAGTCGCAGCCCATCGTCATCATTGGATTTTGACGTCAACACCCGTCAAAAACCAGGGTGTCTCAATTCTCTTTGAGAGACTTCATCTGTCTCAATTGAACTCTTCTCTTCTACGACAGCCTACAACCCCAAGTCGGCAGCGTTTGGTCGCTGTCGCTTGTTTCTGCCGCTATGGCTCCAACCCTTGGTCATGGCTCCTCCCAACTCGGCAGTCACATGCTCCGCAACTCATTCTATACCCACGGTCGTTATGCAACCTCTGGCTCGCCATCTGCTTCGCGACACATGCTCCAAGCCTTGACGAGATCGCGATGCCTATCACGGCCTTCGGCCTCTTCAATTCGAACCTTTGCCTCCAACTCGGGCAAGAGACCGAGATTCTCTCAGCGCCTTGGTGAGGCCATGCGCAACACCAAAATCCAATGGTACCAGATCCCTGTCGGTCTAGGTATTGGATTCCTCGGTCTCGTTCAATTTTATAAGGTCTCTTCTCGCGAAAAGGAGAGACATGAGATGGAAGAAGGACAAGACGGTACTAGGACGCCGAAAAAGCGTGCCAGAATTCGTCCTGACGGCCCTTGGTACGTCAAGTATTTCTGCCCCTATACCTCGGTCAATGCTTACTCGAGTTTAGGCAAGTCCAAGTCATGTCAACTCTGCCCCTAAAAGCCATCTCTAGACTTTGGGGCCGATTCAATGAGTTGACCATTCCTTACTATCTTCGAGTTCCTGGTTTTAAGCTGTATTCTTGGATCTTTGGTGTCAAGTTTGTCCCCCGCATATATTGTGGCAAACTTATGCTAACGAGCTCAGTCTTGACGAAGTCGCCGAACCCGATCTCCATGTCTATCCTAACCTCGCATCCTTCTTCTACCGCACTCTCAAGCCCGGTGCGAGACCGCTCGACCAAGATCCTCATACTCTCGTTTGCCCCTCCGATGGCAAGGTCCTCCAATACGGTCAGATCCAAGGCGGTGACATCGAGCAAGTCAAGGGTATGACTTACAGCATCGATGCTCTCCTTGGAAAGAACACACCTCCTGCAAGCATTTCGGGCACTTCTGGCACTACTACACCTGCGACTAGCCTAGCTTCCACCGACGTATCGGACGAGGAAGCCCTTATCAAGCAGGATGCGGAATTCGCTCAGGTCAATGGCATCTCGTACACTCTTCCCGATCTCCTTTCCGGCACTGGAAAACGTGGTCCTTCAGTAAAGGATGAGTCCATGCCCGCATCTCCTGGTACAGTTTCTGAAGTTGGCGCCGAACTCGCTCTGGGTGAGCGACCTTGGTACGATGTTGTATCACCGGATAAGACTACAGCCCTCTACTACGCAGTTATCTACTTGGCTCCTGGCGACTACCACCGTTTTCACTCTCCCACAAACTGGGTCGTCAACCGCCGTCGCCACTTCGCTGGAGAGCTTTACAGCGTATCTCCATACCTGCAACGAACTCTACCTGGCCTTTTTACCCTCAACGAGCGTGTAGTGCTTTTGGGTCGTTGGCGTTGGGGATTCTTCAGTTACGTTCCAGTCGGTGCAACCAACGTTGGCTCTATCGTCGTCAACTTTGATAAGGAACTGCGAACCAACAGTCTGTTGACCGACACGGCAGCGGATCGGGCAGCTGAGGAGGCGGCCAGCAGGGGTGAGGTATATCATGGATTTGCCGAGGCAACATACGAGGCGGCCAGTCCTATTCTGAGAGGCCATGCACTTCGACGCGGTGAAGAGATGGGTGGCTTCCAGCTAGGTAGTACTATCGTACTCGTATTTGAGGCACCTGCACACAAAGTGGGTGACAACAACGAGCACATCGGTTGGGACTGGGCGGTGGAGAAGGGACAGCAGGTTAAAATGGGACAGGCTCTGGGAAGGGTGGTTGAGTAAAGTAATGCATTCTGTATAAAGAACAAAATCCCAGTTGAGCGTTTGGATATTTGCATATAATTGTATACTGCTCCGTATAATGCATCAGCGCATGAAGCGTTTTCTGTTTATCATAACTGTTAAAATGAGTACATATCCAGATACAAAGCGTACCCAGTTTTACTTCTGAGAAGTTGGTCCATACATCACGAAAGCATAAGTGACCAAGAACAAATTTTAGATGTTGATAACAATAGTATTGTTTGTCCATTACGTGAATGGTGAGCTTCTATACTCTATCTCTAAATGCTAACGGTTCGCTAAAAATGCAGGCTCCCATCCCCAGTCTAATTGACTTCTCGCAAGCTTTTTAACATTATGTTTAAGCACCAAAGACCTTGACACGCTCCTCAAGAGGAGCATATGTCTTGGGGCCAGCCTCACCCTCCTTGGCACCAAAGACGAGCTGAGCGTTGAGAGTCCAGGTGGAGGGGATCTTCCAGGTCTCGGCAACCTTCTCATCGATCAGAGGGTTGTAGTGCTGGAGATTGGCACCGAGACCCTCGGCCTCGAGAGCGGTCCAGAGAAGGTACTGCTGGATAGCAGCAGACTGAACGGCCCAGGGCTCGAAGCGGTCGGCATAGATGGCAAATTTGCCCTGGAAGGTCTGAATGGTGGCGTTGTCGACATAGAAGAGAACAGTTCCGGCGGCAGCCTTGAAGCCGGAGACTCGCTTAGCAGTGGCCTCCCAGGACTCTGCAGGGACAATGGCGCGGAGGGCATCAGATGTGATGTCCCAAAGCTTGTCGTGCTCAGCACCGTAGAGAACAACGACACGGTTGGTCTGGGAGTTGAAGGATGAAGGGCTCTCGAGGGTGGTCTGGTTGACGATCTCGGTGATGCGCTGGGTAGCGATGGGGAGGTTCTTGGAGAGAGCGTAGTGAGAGCGGCGGTTCTTGGCCAGCTCAATGAGGGCGTTGGCAGAGAATTTGGCGGCCATTGTGAGTGATGTTTAGGTTTGTGGATATAGGTTGGTATGTGTGTAAGTGAGTTGAGTGAGAAGCTGTTGATGAGATAGGATGGACAACGGGGAAACAGTCGAATATATAGCAATATCTCCCTCACATAACAAATCTTTATTAAGCTACGACGGCACTATTCACCTATTTTGCCCCGCCCGGTATATTGAACCCCTCCATTAACAACTTTGGTCCCGAATCGCGCGAGAAAAAACGACACCAGACCCTGCCGGTTCTTTGCAATCGCAACCTCCACTGACTAATGATGCAACACCGGAATCGCATCACTCAGGTACAAGCTTATACTGATCGAGTTAGTCTGTTTGTCAGCCACCCGCTCCCACCTTTTTACTTGCGCGCGCTAAGTCGTGTGGAATGCCATAAACATTATTCAGCCGGATATATAGGCTCAATAAGGATTAGAGCCGGAAGTACTGAAGCTACCCTGAAGTAATCATGTTCTTTTCTCTCTCTTTTTCTTCCAAGGACTTAGGATTCATTAGGTATTGCCAGTCAATATTTAGTGGTAAGAATCATGAGCCTAGTATAATTCGTTAGGTCTAGACTACTCACTCGAGTCTCGATACAATACAATTGCGCCATATTCGTGCGATTGCACCGGTATCAAGTGGAGATCGCGTGTTAATCAAACTCAGATATACACACAACTCACCGCTACAGACGCTACATGGTCTACTGATGTGTAGGTACGGAACTAACACTCTGTTTAGAAATAGATAGAAACTTGACATGCAACAGTAACCCAATTGTTATCCATGAGAACCATCGCTGATTGCTTGAAAGGCCCCCACCCTTCTTGGAACAGACTTTTACTCATGCATCCTGACTCATGTACACTATGGTCATTCTGATAGAACGATGTTGGAAGCTAACCCCAGATTTCCCTCATGTTGGCTAGACCGCTATGATTTACAATACGCGCGCGCGCGAGATGGATGAAGCAAGCGGAACATATACTCGGCTGACAAAACACGGCTTCGGACCCTTGCATGCCACATCCCACTGAAAAGCGAGTGCCGAGCCTATCAGACTAGGTTAGTCGCCAGAAAGGGAAGTCTGGCGTCAGGAACACATCTACACTCATCAAGGGTATGACCCAGTAGATTGAACAAAAACACCCATCTCGTCTATCTGATAATAGCCCTCGTCTGTGTATCCGTACTTGCCATACCTAGTATACGGCAATCTCTACATAGTAGTCGTTAATCGCAAAGCCTTCCAAGTTTGTAACACGACAAAGATGGATGAACCCAATAAATGATTATCAACGGTAGCTTGTGCACTTTCATGTTTAATCAATTGATTTTTTAAATTTTTCAATATCAAAAAGGGTAGGACAAGATCTGATAATCCTTATCCTGCCACCATGGGTATTTTCCATAAAGGAAATAGTCAATATACAACCCGCAAGAGAAAATAGCCACTCATACCCATAAACCTATAACGCCGTTACTATGCCCAATGCTCCCCTCGTCTCGAATCAGAAAATGCCATATGCTATCCCCCTCGCTTGTGCAGCAGCCTTCTAGTCTGTGTCGGCCGGCATTCTTGAGTTTTGTTACAATGCCCTTGCACTACCAATTCATCCTTTGTATGAAATAAATATCCAAGCTTTTCCGGTGTTCCATTTGTTTTGTCATTTACCACGTCTCGGAAATATACTTGCCCTCTTCCTTTTTGAGCATCCAGAAATTGCGGGCCTCCTCACGCTCCAGGTTGCCTTTTTCCATGGCGACATCGCAGAGGGCATCCTCGACACCCTCACCCATACCCTTGCTGCTTCCGCACACAAAAATACGGCCGTCTAAGGAGTTGATGATGTACCAAACCAGGTCAGACTGGTTCATAACCTCTTCTTGCACATACTTGCCGGTACCGACTCGGCTTTGAACGACACGCTTCACCTCTTCCTCATGAACGCCCCACTCGCCACTGTAGATCTCATCCACCAATGAATCTCGGATGCCCTGAAGGACCCAAACCTTGTTGGCGCAATTGGCCTGCTTGAGACGGCGCTGGACGAAACCACGGAATGGGGCAATACCAACACCGGCACCGATCAGAAGCATAGGGCCATCGGAGTTGAATTGCTTGGCCAGAGGATTGGCCATCAAACCCTTGAACATCGGGATGAATATTTGAGGGGAGCGTTCACCAGCAGCTTGGGCTCTCATAAACTTGTGAGCCTGTCGCTCAAAAAATCCAGATCCAACGCCGGCACGGCAGCCACGTCGCCAATCCATGGAGTCATGGACCGTAACAGCAATCTCGATCAAGCGACGCTGAGCATGTTCTCGGAGGGTATATGATTCGGTAGGATCGTTGGAAAGAGAGTAGAATCGCGGCATGAGCTGAGCTTGGACAGATAGGAGTTGGTCCATGGGAGGATGAGAGCTAGGGAACGCGTTAAGGATTTGAGAGAGGGTGGTGTGGGGACCACCACGGAAGTCGGAAAAGATGCTGGCACCTTCATTAGAACAGAGATACTCAAGGATCTTCTTCTCGTTAGGGGCGGTGGCATGCTCCGCAATGACACGGAGCAGCTCCTTGGTAGGAGCATAAGACTGAATATCGGTGGTCCATGTGAGGAGCTCACGGCGTGTGGTGATGAGCTCGCGGGCCTTCTCGTCACCCCAGACAGTAGGCCAGCGACCCTTAGTTGTCTTCATGAGAACAGGCTTGTCACGCTGGAAGCGTGGGATCATGAGAGCATCAAGAATCTCATCAACCGAAATCTCGTCATTAGGGGCCATTACACCAATGGCGCCACCAACCTTGAAGTCGAAAACTTCCTCAGGAGGGTAATCGGTAATATCAAGATCGAAGTGGAAGGTTCGCTTCTCGGCACCAGGCTTGGTGAGCTCACGAGTGTTGTGGATCTTGGCCGGGTACACGTTGTGGGGAGGATGAGGCTGGACGAATCGAGGAGGTTGAATGGCGGTATCGACACCCTCATATCCAGGACCAGGAACCAGAAAATTGTTCTTGGAGGAAGTGGACAAAGGGGAAGACTCAGAATCGGAATCGAGTGAGACAGCTGAGTCAGAAGGAGAAGAAGTCGGCCGAGGAATTGATGTGAAAAAGACAGTTTGCTCGGGCATAGGAATGATGCCGGTCAGGTCGGCAGGAATCTTCTCAAGTCGAAGTCCGAGTGACTTGAAAGCATCATTGTCGGGCAGAGGAACCTCCTCATACTCAACGTTATTTCGGTCGCTCATACAGCAAGCACCACCACAGCATCGGCCCATGTACTCAGCTGGTGTCTCACCAGTGATTCGCTGAATGTCTCGGGCATTTTGAGCAATCAGACGTGTAGATGCACGACGACGGCGCTCGAGAGGGATGACTGGCTCATCTTCTTGGGAGTCGGAATCGTCTGAGTAGGTTAGCGAGGGTGCAATTGAAGGAGCACCCTCGGCCATGATGAGTTCGTGTTGGGGTTGAGTGGCGGGGTTGACGATGCCGTCAATTCGAATAGCAGGAGTAGTCATGATGGGCCAAATGTGTTTATGAGCCACCCGCTGGAAGTTGTTGTTGAGGAGCCGAAGTGTCGGGTGTAGATGTTGTTGAAAAGCTCTTCGCAACGAGTAAATTGTGCCGGTTTTCGCAGAAATAGCGTGGTTCGATTTAGGCGACGTCAGGATTCAAATAGCATGACGATGCAGCAACAGACAGGGATTGTAAGTACTGTCGTCTGAGAGGTAGGTAAAAGATGTTTGTAAGGTTCGTGAAGATTGATGACCTGCAGATGCAATTGACTGATAAGAAAAACTCTGTTGCCTTGGGTTGTGAGGAAAGAAGAAGCTCAGGAAAGCTGGAGGGGGCAAAAGACTCAAATACAAGTGGTAGCGGCCGAGAGCGGGCGGGAGGTTTTAAAAAATCCAATCCATTACTCTTGTTGCTGTTGCCATTGCCATGGATAGCGCCCCGGTGCGGGTTGGGGAATCTCCACAGTAGGACTATTTGGTGCTTTGCATTGGCACTGTTGGGGGGGGCGTGTCACTAAAACCAGTGGATTACCAGTGGATTATCTTGACAGTTTTTGTCCAACTTTATACTTATACATAAACAAATAGACATGAGTGTTTAATCAAACATGCAAATATTACTAGAAATTGGAAATGAGTCCAGGTACTGATCAGGCCATTTCACAGCATGATGCTCATCTCTGGCACTCGCGATGATTAGATAACGTCGCAATCCAGTCACCCGGTTATTCTCCTTTCCCCAGGCTCAGAGTCAGGCCCAGGTCCAACCCCAGGAAACAGAACCCGAACTCGAGAAGGTCCCTGTCCGGCTCCAAGCGATTCTAGCCCCCCTAAGCTGATGTGGATTTGGCGCATAGCACAATAAACAGATCATGCCAGAACATGACGATAGATGGATGCGTGGTAATTGCTTACAGGTAGATATGATGATCAGATAGGAGGCTTGAGGTTTAACACAGGGTTGTTGACTAAACTCGAACATGGAAACATGAAAGTAAAATGAAGTGTGATCATGTCGCAATTTCGTTATCAATCAATGCTTAATCAATCAGTCAATCAATCAGGCTAATCAATCAGTCAGTGCTTTGTCTCACCTGCTGTAAGCTGTGCAAGACACGTGGGTCAACCAAAGTATCGAAACCTTTGCTCTCCCTCGGCCTAACCTTCTACAAACTCAAAAATATGCACCCTCTGCTCAATAATTATGCCACTTTTGTTATCATTTATCGATAGTTGGCGCAGGGTTTCCCTCTGCTTCTCTTCCATGACGGGTTATGAGCTAATGCTTGCCGATCCAGTGACCGGTTTGTGCAACACTACCCGACTTGCATAAAAGTCTTTTTTGATTGGTCTATCGGCTCTTGGCCCCCCTTATCAATCAACCACTCAATGAATCTTTCTTTGTCCTGACACATCAAGATCAGTGAGATCGTTGTGCAAACCCTGAGCAATTAGCTCCACAACGTCAATCTCGCAATCCAAAGTCCGATATCGAAGTTGGTCACTTGACCAACGCAAGATATAATATCTATGGTAGTTGACCGACAAAACAACTCGACTACAATCTATCCTATAGAGAACTCGGCCGATAGAGCCAGCAGCTAGAAAAACTAGAAAATTCAAGGTTGGTTCTAGGGTAAGGACACTTGCATAACTCTCAAAGCTGAACCGGTCTCTCCGACACCATCATCTCTCACTGTGAGAGATCGGCAGGCCCTGAATGATTAAAGGTATTCTTGGATAATAACACCCAATCTCAACATGATCAGATCAACACAGTGCTGCAAATTACAATCCAAGGGGTCAACGACGTACACATGCGTATCATACGAGCTGTGTCTTGTTCGGATCTTTTCGGTTCATTAATCAACAGTGCAGCCCTTCCATTCATCATTAAAAGTTATGAGGCTCTGTCCGGCTATGCTAAGCTCTGGTCAGAAAAAAACAAGGGTTCGGACCTGGAACCAACCACGGCAGGCGTTTATCTAACCGAGTCAACGAGACAACGGTTCCCAGCTTCGGGTCAGGCCACCACAGACATTGTCATTAAAGAGTACCGCCTATTTCCGCCATTGTGGCATGTCAGTTCCCAACAATATTGTATAATTAATAGGAGTTCAAAATCAGGTTATACTGCGTAGCACCAGGAATACCGGAGTACAGGAACCGGATAGACATCCTCTTACCCGTTTATCGGGATCTGATCCACAACCGACCCTCCAGTGAGTAGTAAGCGGATATTATCACGTCCGATGGCCGAACCGAACGTTTCCGTGGGGCTTTCCGAGGAAAAGGAAAGGAGATCGACTGCCGTCTGAACGACCGAAGGCGACGCCCGCAGACGAAAATAATGCACTCTATTATCAGATACAAATCTGAGTATCGACTTCGCAGTATTTCCTCTCCCTCTCCCCGCATTCCTTCATCCCGATTCGTTCGAATTCAAAGAGTCGAGTGAGTTTCTTCTCTATTCGACACCGATAACCATCCGAACCGATGTATACAAATATACACTCCGAGTAGCAGTTGCAGTGCTGATTTGTGAAAGGAGTGACATGGCATGGCTGAAGAGTCACATGCCTTCTTCCTATTATCCATTTGATAGATCAACCCCGAAAACGATATTGCACTGTCTTGACTCTGTTTCTTTCTTCTAGCTCCGAGTCTAGCTTGGACATAAACTTGGATACCCCGGCTCCGAAAGCTCTTTTCCTCTTGTCTCCTTGTCAAATGGTGTATCCCCACCAATCGGATTACCCCAACAAACCAGCCAAAAAAGTTATCAGATGGACTTGCCTTTATCAATCCAATCTAATCTTGGAACATCCATCTCCCTTGAATGTTGAGATTAGATGCATCTCGTTAATTACGATGTGCACCTCGACCGATTTCGGAACTAATCGAAACAAAAATTCTTTATTTGAGACAAACTGCGCAAATACCCACAGCCTCTTGTTGAGTTGCTTTGTTGTCCTTGCACATATGTACATATGCATGTGCTTCTCAGCCAATGCAGCTTGCCTACCAATATATGGATACATATCCATTGCAGCATTCGCATGTACAACACACAAGCGCAGAAGTTAGGTAAATTGATACCATCCTTGCTAAGTGAATTGGTCTGTGTCAGCTCTCCTTTACTTCCTTGTCCCCAACCACAAACATCAACCTCGTCAGGGGATCCGTTTCACCGACAGAATCTGTTTTTGTGTTGCCCATAGAAGCTTTTTCCAGAGCAGGTATCATGGAAAGGAGCTCGATCCTGAATTTCTCACATTTCTAATAGTGACTTGTCCCACTGGAAAGACGACGCAATATGTACTCAAACCCTGAATGGGTCTGATTGTCGGTCATGATCAGATAAGATGGGCAAGATTTACTTTTTTGTGTGGGGTCTACCAAACACATCCAGCTAGCCAGCCCTTTGACTATCAAATAACCACCTTGGTATGGATACCTAGGTGCCCAAGCAAGGGTGTCTCCTTTTCGTATCGTACATGGAAATATGGCTTGAGAGACGGCTCCTTATGCCATCCTGACCAACAACAAATTGCTCACTCCCGCTCCTGAAATGACATGACTTTGATCGAGACATATCAAGGCTACCATTCCTTGACTCCCGTCTTGATGCCGAGGTAGATGTCTTTTACCAAACCTGGAAATCCATCTGATGGACCCGAGCCTGCCCGTCATCACTTCCCTGCCGCTCCAACTTGCGCCGCTGTTCCTGTCGCTCTGCCGCTGATATTTCGGTTGCTAAGCTTTGCTGTTCTTCGTCCTCACGTGCATCTAGGTATGCCAACTTGATGTGGATTGACCCCGTTGAAATTCCATTGCAGCGCAGGGTCTGCCATGCTCCGAGCTTTGGAAGCCGTCCTCGCGTGACTAGTTCACAGAGGTCAACATGCACCTCGCCAATGAGCTCTAGCATTTGAGCCCCCCATACAGAAACTCTCAAATGGTAGCACATTGGTGAATTATGCACCCGAAACCTGAAATCTTCGTTCCTAAATCCATCTTAGCTTCAATGTACTGTTGGCCTCCCACAAGAAGAATAGTTATGGTAAAACTCCAAGACTGACAATATCCCCCCGGGATCTGTATCAAGGGTTATTATTTCACTCACCACGTTGGTTTCGGTGTCGCTTTCTCGGTGGGTCGACTCTGCTGGACATCGTATCCATACCAGAGCACGCAGGTATGGCCGATTCTGTCGCCATCCAAGTCCGCTTCGCCAATCGAGACAACTAAGCGATTAGATCCCCGATTGCTTGAGCCTGGTCGCTGTTTAAGACTGAGGCGCGTGTTAATTGGCACCGAAGTCAGCTGTTTTGGGCCCAGGAGCTCAACTGATGATGGCTTGTTTCGTCTTTTGCCCATTCTTACCTGACCAGCAATGGAGCTTACGGCCCCATCTCCTGGCAGTCGATTCTGCCTCAACGCCACCAAGCTGCCAGGCCGTGAAAGACACGAGTCATAGCCAGAGTCAAGACTGCTGAGCCCTGACACGGATCTCATTGGGGAAGTACAATCAAACAGGTCACCAGTTTTGCTTCCTGCCATATGCCTAGTAATAGGAATTGGCGTCGCCGCATTTTCCAATGCCGCGTCTCTGGACAAGAGGTTGCGGGTTCTGACATATCCCACAAACTGAGTTGCCGGATGTTCCGGCAGCAGATTCCATACGACGACCGGCACGGACAAGATCAGAAGAGTTGAATAACTGCGGTAGACAGCCTCGACGCTCACATGCGTTGCCAAGAGTGGAAACTGCTTCAGCCATCGGGCACAACTTGCGGCATCAAAGACCTGGTCCTCTTCCAATGCAACTGTCAAAAGAACATGCGGTGCCGCTCTTTGTCCTTTTGCGTCTGTGGCCAATAAGGCCTGGATACGATCCTCAGCCGAGAGGCAGGTATCGGACTGTACCCTCTCTGTAAAGTCCCTGAGGCTTGGGTCAGGGATCGCTCTAGATGACGATATTGAGCCAGACTCTTCTTCAG